AGTAATCTACTCTGTATTCAAGTCCATTCGAGTCGATCAAGGAGCGAGACCCGGCACCTGCCAGTCAGGTCGATCGATTCGAATTGTAAGTCAGACAACGTCGTTATCAGTCGTCTGCCAGTGCTGCCGGGCTCATAACCTCTCGGCGTAAGGCTGCCGAGAGCTCAGTGGGGAAATAGATGAAGTCTATCTAGGCATAGAAGATCAATATATTATTGCTCCCTCTGGGGAAGAAAAAGAAGAACTGACTAGGAGCCGGCGTTGAGGTCGGCTCTAAATCTGCGTGGCCGGTTTGGCGGTCACGTGGTAACTGACAGCTGATTGGTCAGACCTGGCAGCTGCCTGAATGCCGTATGGGTCAGGCACCAACACCTATCGATATTGATAGTGGGCGAACTTACGGAACCACTGGTGCATAGCATTGGAGTGCTCCGCCCACGGGCCAAAGTGATCCTTGAGCATGGCGAACTTCTCCGAGTAGGGGGCGATGTGCGCGGGGTCTTCGTAGAAGAGGATCTAACATTCGTCAGCAACAGCAGTAATGATAATGATATCGACAAGGGCGACTTACTGTGCCGTATGCCGCCTTGAAACCCTCCAGCTTCGGCAGGGTCTGGTTCTTCCACAGCTCCTCCGGAATGGCGCCCGTCTTGACCAGGTTCCCCAGCGCGGCGATGGCAATGTCCCACAGCTTGTCGTGCTTCTCGTTCAGCAGCACGACCAGCCGCGTCGACTGCGTGTTGAAGGAGCTGGGCATGTGCTTGATGGCATTGGTCACGAGCTCCTCGATCTTCGCGTCCGGCACGGGGCTGTTCTTGCCCAGCTTGTAGTAGGTGCGGCGGGCCTTGGCCAGCTCGATCAGGGTGTCGGTGGAAGACATGGTGATGGTGGTGGTAGAGAAGGATCTGACAGAAGCACGACAAGGGGGAATTGGAACTGTTGATCGAGGGGCAGACCGCGAGGCGGCGGGGTTGGCGCGAGTAGATATAGTCGCCGCACACGTCCCACTCGTCGAGCTGGACAGGTGGGTAATCTTAAGATTAGGATTCAGGCCAGGCCTAGCACGCCAGGATTGGATGCTAGCCAGCGACCTAGAAGAAGATCGAAGCAGGCCGGCAGAGAACAAGGTCATGGTGAGAGTGAACGAATGGCCATTCAACGGTAGACAAGACGGAAAAGAAATTAATCAATTAATAATCACTGCCAGGCAGGTACCTGCAATGGATTCCAACAATGGCAGTGATACGATAAGAAAAAGTTCTGATCAATCGACGGTTCCCGACGACAGGATGAAGGAATGCGTCGATATCCTGTGGGACCGTCGACAGCAAGCTGCACAGGAGCACGCAATTGAACAAAATCAAGTCAATCGGTTCAGTCGATTGAGAGAGTGGGTCGTAGTCCAGTCTGTAGTATAGAGCAACGAGATCAAGTGCAGTGGGCAGCGCGGAATTGTCCCTTGCTGTGTTAGAAATTAGGGCGGAAGTTGGAACATGACATTCATACCTGCAGGAACGGAGTAAGATACCCAAGTACCAATACTACGAATTCAATGGATGGGCAAGAGCCAATTAAATATTGTATCTGCCGGTACGTCGGAAATATGATTAATTAGTCCAAGCATTCTACTCTCGAATGGAATGAACTGCGAGACCTACTGTGTACTCTACCAGTGCCTGGCAGCAGATAGTGATGATGACGATATGCTGACAAATCGCGGAATTATCTCCTTAGCCAAACAAGCCAAACTAAATCTGCATGCAATACGCTACTACTGGATTCGAATGGAATTAAATCAAAGCTGCTTTAATATAAAATAAAAAAGTTATTTACTATCCAGATAAAATCCCATACTACTACATTTGACTTTTGTTAAATTTGGCGCGTTCTGTATTGTGTAGATCAACAGTGGATGCTAATCTAACCAACTACCGCAAGTCAGGGAGTGACTGGATAAGGCTTAGTTACAGTACATAGATTAGATACCTACCTAGCAATGATGCTTGGGCGACTCTTCTATTCTCATCTACCCTGAAAATACCATGAAAAACCCACCAAAGACGACTACGTCTCCGGTGAACAAAGAATTCGATCAATCGAAAAGATGGTCAGTTTGTGAGCAAGAAAGATCTGGTACTGGCGTGTTCACCGGCTGACTATCTTTCAGCGCCTGAATCGTCCACTAGCTTCAGGCACAACCTCAAAAGAAATCCGATGGGGAGACTGATTTGATTCTCCTCGGCTTTGCCAATGCCAAAAGATCTACATGTAGGGCGATAACATGGACCTTGTTGGGCGCCTAGAGTACATCGGTCTGAACACGGAGGCCATTACCCACATAACCTGTATCTACGACCCTGAGCTAGATCCTCGTGCAGACTTATGGGAATACATCGAGGCGTGGGTCCGATCACGACGAAGCGATAAATATGTGGCCGAGGATGGATACCAGCAGGAACTCATCCGATGTGGTCTCTCCGATGGGTTAGCCGCGAAGCATATGGATGCTGAAATTGCTATCTTCAGATGTATGCAAGATCCCTAGTACTGGGCCTTGGGTACTCTGCGCATGAGACACGACATGCTAAATTCGATGGAAGCCATGGGGGAGCCCTCAGACGGTGAGAACGAAGATGGTCCTGAAGAGAAATCGTCTTCAAAGTCAGCAAGTCGTCCAGATAAAGGCAAAAGAAGAGCAGATGTCACTGAAGAGGGCCCAGAAGGAGCCATGAATCTTCGACAACCTGGAAGCGACGAAGTTATCTGGCTGAAGGGATCAATCAAATCGCAGCTTTTCGGCGGATACTCCGCCACCACACTCCGCATGAACCCTCGAAGTATTCTGTCGCTACCGCCAACAGATTTTGGAGGACTGCTTAGTTGCCTCTGTTTTACAGACTCCGTCGACGCGGCAAAACAGTATGCTAGCTGGGCCACCCGCAGGGCCGCCCCTGGCCCTGGTTCAAAGGCGATGATCCTGTATCTCTATGTCCCAAAGCAATGGCTACGGGCTCTACAAGAGCAGAATCAGATCCGTTATTTGACAACGGATGAGTTCCAGCACCTTGTCTGGTGGAGCTACCGGGATTCCCAGGCTGGAGCTGCACCTAATACTATCTAAGACATCCACCAGAGGAAGGTCATATGTGGCCCTATCAGTGCAATGTCACCAAATCAAGTTCGGCGTCTAGCGAACTCCAGTGAAATTGCACCATGGACATGTACAGATACATTCCAGGGCAAGAAGCCTACCCAGATATGCGTTCCTGTTCTTCCGTCAAATGACGATGTTCTCAATAAACTAGCAGGTTTTGAGGCTCGACTGGTGACCCAGAAATGAAGTGATGACAAGGAAGACGTTTCTGGACAGATAACCTGAAAAGGAATCAAGAAAGCCTGTGCTATATTTCTTAGATCGTCTAGTCAAAAAAAAGGGGTCTAACAGTCCTAACCTATGTAGGTCTAAGGTACCTACTAGGTAGTATCTAGCAAGTCTAGGAGTAATACTACCCCTACTTACTAAGTGTATCATGTATGTTTCAAGGCCTGGCTAGTTAGAACTTAAAAAGAAGACTGTTCCATTTCTGTCATGTAATAATAGCCTCTCCGTAGTATTTAATAGATGAACACAACAACGACAACACTGCAAAGAGTGATCGATCTATGTCAATCTCGTCGGGTCTACATAATCGTCCATATCCATACTCATTATGAATAATTAACACAAGAGAGATAGATAGTACAGTACAGTATTGTATGTACAGCAATAATAATGTCCACATCTTCTTCCTCCGCTATTCGTCTTCGTGTACCCTCCGCGCTGCGCTCATCCTCATCTTCTTATTCTTCTCAGTCCAATCACACCACCACCAACAGCAGCAACAACCATGACGACACCGATTTATCCCCTCCCCCTATTGCATGGCTCACTGCCTCTTCCTGGAATGTCACCTACTCGACTCTGCCCATGTGGCGCGCCAAACGAAACGTGCGGATCACATATGGGTTGCTCTCAGCAATCAACAGGCAGAATGCACAAGAAACAGCAGCAGCAGCAGCACGTCTCTCCAATCTGGTTACTTATCAAAGCCTGACGTCCTCCAAAGTGCGATCAGTCCGTGGCGTGGACCGTGCCGAAGTGTCGACGAGAGCAGGAGCAGGAGCAGAAGCAGAAGCAGAAGCAGGGATCTGGTCCTGGCACTGGCGCGGATCGGGCTGGTTGAAAATCGCCTCGTCACGATGGGAGATCCTCGGGTATGGAGCTGCATCTGCATGCGACTCTGAGACTGAGACTGACTGGATGGTGACGTACTTTGCGCGCACGCTGTTCACGCCCGCCGGTATCGATGTCTATTCGCGACCCCGGGCGGCTGTGTCTGAGCAGCTGCTGGAGGAGATTCAGCGCGCGTTGAAGGAGACGGGAGATGTTGTGTTGACTAGGTTGGCTGATCAGTTGTTTCTGGTTAAGCATGACGATGACGATGATGATGACGATAACAGTGTTGGTGCATCATGATGCCGTGTCGGCTTTATTATTATTAGATTTTATGTCAGGTATATACAGTCCTGAGAAGAGATATATGACCGAAAGAGCCTCTGTGATTATATCACATCCAGAGGTTGGGTGAGGATACTTGTGTCTATTGCATCAGACGAGGAACTTCTCGCCGCGCTCCCTGCAATGCGCATTCGCTATGCCCTTGACATGGCCCCTCTCCTGCATACCATCCCCCCTCGATGAGCCGGTTCTCAATATCGAGCCAGTACTCGGCCTTGCCCCCGGCTGCCGTCTTCAGATCAAGGTCACCCAGGCGCACTTCGATGGGTCTTTTGTCATCAGAGGGCATCTGAGTTCTGTTAGCGGCATGCCGTCGGAGAGAGAAGAGAATCATCTGTCCCACCTTGATGAACATTGTACAGTCTCTCAACGTCATCGCGAGCGACATCTCGCTCGAGTGTGCTGGATGTCTGGCACGTCCCACATCATTCATTTTTCTCTGATAGTCGCGGAGCTTTAACAGGGTCCTGTTCTGGTAGAGAACCTTGGCAAGACGGTGCTGATCAGAACACCCCTTGATAAACCGGACTGCCCGCAGCACGTCTTCCCGCTTGTCCGAGACCAGGTCCAGGGGACAAAAAGACTGCTCTTCTTTGAGACCCGCCTGGCGGGCTTCGTGGTTCTTCATCTCCCGCAGCGCGCAGGTGCGGCACCGTTTGGCGTTGGGAGGAGCAGAAGGGGACTGTAGCAGCCACTTTGGCTTCAATTCGGCCACCGTTGTTTCCAGGTCATTTGCATCCGTCATATCGGTGACAAGCAGACCAAAATGCTCCGCTGTGGACAAGTAAACGCCATGGCGCTTGGCCGGGCGTTTCCCCTTCCTCTCGCTGGCACGCAGCTGCTCGTTGCAGCGATGAACCAGTCCTGCTGGCAATCTCACGAGCCTCTGATCGACCAACTCTTCCGGTTTGAAAAGCGGACGGATGTGTTTGTCGAAGTTCCGCGCTGTCTGCTGATAGGGGATCCCGTATTCGACGTCTTTTCGCAGACGCAGTAACTTTCCTTCAAGCAGAGTCGCCTGGGCAGGATCTTCGATTTCCGTCTGCCGCGGAGTGCCGTCTCCATTGTGTTTGATCTCCGACGACGTCGCCAAGTCAACGGACGGAAGCAGCATGCGATAGACGATGTTGGCACCGCCCTCGGCCAGGTAGAGCAGCTGCACTCCCGCCGGAAGGTCGGGAATGAGAGCTGGGGCCATCTGGAGGATCGAAATATCTGGGCCAGCGCTGATCTCGGAAACGGACCATAGCCTCGCCGATCTCAACGTGATGAGAAGAGGAACAACACGGGGTAAAAAAAAACTTTGCGGGGTGAAATGCACAAAATCAATTCAAGGTCTTTGTTTGTCTTTTAATTGGCAATGGAAACAGAAAAAAAATTCGCTAAGAAAAAAACATGCAGATGCAGGATGCAAGTGAGGTGAACTGGCAGTCTAGCAAACACGCTTAAAAAAAATCACCAAACACCGAATGCTGCCAATTGGACGGTGGGCGATGACGAAGGAAAACGTAACAGCACGAAAGCCTCCCAGGTTGCAACAGGGTAAATTTAAAAAAAAAAAACCAATCACATACAGAACCCCAAAGCAGCAGACCTCAATTTAAGCAAACAGCCGAAAACGTGTATGACTGAAAAAGAAAAACAGATACTGAACGGAAGGTCAATCAATGACGCAAGCGATGCGAATCGCGAGGCTCCAGGTATTCTTGGAACAGTCCAGGGAGCATGCAGCTAAGCGGCGGGCAGCCAACCGGGACGGATTGGCCTGCGGGCAGCTGCAAGGCCTGGTGACTTCTAGACTTCTGGGGCGATCTTTGACCGAGTTTATAGATGGAGATGGACCCCGCAACCTTGCCAGAGAGCATACATGGGGGAGCACACCCTGCCGAAGACCGATGTGAGGCGAAGCAGGAAAGCTCGGAAAACTCAGGCCAAAGAGGAGAAGACGGTCCAGAAGAACCTGCCCTAGGTATTCGCCATTAATCCAGCGGTGAGCGATGGAGAGGAACCAGGCGGGAAGCGGGAACTGTAGGATCCAGGTGACTCGCTTTGTCGAGCCAGGCACAGAGGCACAGATGCAGCACTGCACAGGACAGTACCGAAAAAGGGAACAACTGAGAAGCACAGTCGGAGCAGTGGCCTGTCGGACAGACTGTGGTGACCCGGCTGCGCGGATCGTAAGATGTGCAGAAGACGGAATCCAACGTGACTGGGTGCGGATGACGTGCCAAGATGGAGAGCAGGTACAGTACAGCAAAGAACTGCGGAGAGAAGGACAGACGGGGACAATAGTGGTACAGTCGGTCCTACACTGGAAGATGATGTCTCATATCTTGATTAGCATTCAATTTATTACAAGCAGACTTGTTCTAGGTTTTGGTGTTACTATCCACGATGGAATATTATTCTTGATGCCCAGGGCATTATTCTTACTAAGTGCTGCAGGCAAGACCCCACCATCGATAGCGATAGCATTTAATACTAATGTACTCCAGATCTACCGCTAGCCGCAAATACCATTCCCTTATCACTTTAATACACTTGATTAATCCATCACGTCTCTACGGAAAATAAAAGACGAATAAATAAATAAATAGACAGTCAGAATCGGGATCAGAATCAGATACCATGTCAACCTCGTCCACCGACCTGACCTCAATCGAGTCCATCCCAACGCCGGATCACTGCACGGCGGATTTTTGTTTGATTCCTGTAGGTTCCTCCCCATGTAAAACATCAATTTAAATAAATATACTGTACTCTCTTTCTTTTTGACTCCGTTCTCATGTTAATTTTTTTTCTTATCCTGTCTAGATGGGAACCGGCTCGCCCTCCGTCTCCGCCCAGATCGCCGACGTCCAGCGTTTGGTCGAAAAATCGGGACTGAAATATGTGATGCACTCTGCGGGGACGACATTAGGTGAGTTATTTATCCCATAAAAAGAAAAAAAAAGAATAAAAGAAAAAGAGAAAGAAAGAAAGAAAATTCTTTGAGTGCTGTTTACTGACAATCATGCAGAAGGACCATGGGACAAAGTCCACCAGGTCATCGGACAGGCTCATACCATCCTGCACCGGCAAGGGGTTGTGAGAATTCAGACAGACATCCGGATGGGGTCGAGGTAAGGGTTAAAACCTTTCTGTTGTTGCTCCCCCTCGACGCTGATTGATATGATAATGACAACTACAGAACCGACAAGCACCAGTCATTTGAAGATAAAGTCGCTGCGGTGAATAAGTTGTTGGGAAAGGAGTAGACAGACGCGGTAGTAGTTAATTTGTTAAATTGATCATGTCTATCTACACCCAGACGAATATAATACACGTTGTGTGTTAGAAATATACCGAGTTCCATTTATTTCATATCTATCTACAAGGTCATTAATGAGAGAAGCCAGACGGGTAAATACCCGTCTAATAGAACGATAATCATGTCGGACCGTCATCACACAAAAACAAACCCTCAAGATCGAATCAAACGCCGAGCGCCGTCGCTATGCAAGTGGATTTAAAAACGGAAAAACAAAAAAGACGAAAACCCGCCCCTAAAACCAAGAACAGGTGATGTGTCAATAGCGGCATTAAATCGAAACGCCTCCTCCCAGCAGGCTGCCCCATCTACCACCTACCCAGATCCAATTGCCCAGCGTCGGGTTGGCGCCGCTCTTGGCTTGGCTGACGAGTTCGGCCAGGCCGCTGCTGCCGCTGCTGGCGGTATCATCCGAGTTGGTGTTTGGAACAGGAGACCGTCCAACCGGATTGGTGACGTTGTTCAGCATGTCCACCGTCGCAATTGCAGGGCCCTTGTCGAAGAAGTCGACCAGGATAAAAGTAGGCTGCCGGCCCCCGTATTGGCTCTTGCACGTCGTCGCCGCGGTTTGCAGGTTTCCCGTGCCGGACTGCCCGTTCGTCGTGTCGATGGCGCTGACATCGGGGATCTCGATTCCCAGAGCCTCTTGCGAATCCAGGAAGTGGTTCATGAACGGCAGGCGATTCGAGGACAGGGCGGCAGCGATGTTGTTCTCGACCGTCGAAGGACGATTGGGCTGGCAGGAGAAGTTCGAGGCAGCCGTGACATCGTAATTGTTCTCGAAGATGTAGGTGAATTCATCCATGAGATATTCCGCGCCGGCATTGGAGGAAAGAGAGGCGACAAAGGTCATCATCCGCGTTCCAGCACTGATGAGCTCCTGCAGCGTGGGCCATGTCGCAGGCGGGGACGTAAAGTTCGGCTTGTAGGCGTACTTCACGATGCCAGCGGCTTCAAAGACAGCATTCAAGTCGGATGCGGCTGCGTTGTCCGAATTCACCAGTAGGACAGTGACAACTAGAACACTGTCAGTACAATCCATGCCGCCTTTTTTCAAGGTCTGAGCCCATCCTCACCATCATTGGGATTGTTGTCCAGCCAGGTCTTGATTTCCACCAACCACGACTCCAGCGTCCCTGCATCCAACAGATCACAACTGGTGTGGCATAGATGCCATGCTCCATTATTCTTATGCACCTGGGCAGTCACCAACCGAACGCCAGCCGAGAGCTGGACAGTAGTGTTGTAATATCTGCAATAGTCAGCACCTAACCGTCATACGGACTCCGAATCAGGAGCGTAGACTCACTGGTTCCCCGCAGTGGAGTAACTAGTGGATGAATCGCGCAGAAACGGGCTGTCGTGTGCACCCAGATGCGTAATCTCCCCATACGACTTGTCGCACAGATCGGGCGAGTTGTTGCACGCGGTCGAGCTGCGGGGCGCCAGCACCGACGCAGAGGAGAATGGCAGAAGGAGGAGGGGAAGCAAGCGAAGTCCAAGCATGCTGGACAGAGAAATCAATCGATGTACTGTACGATGCCGATCCAGTCGCAGTCTCAGTCACACCAGAATCACCGGTAAAGATGCTTGCAAAACTCGAAGACGGACAAGTGATTGGCCAAGAGGCTCAGGAAACGACGGTCTCGTTCAACAGAGCCGTCGGGATCGAAGCAGAGCCTGGAAAAGGATGGAAGACAGGCCAGGGGAGAGGGGAAAAGAAAGTTGAAAAAACGGGCAGCAGATAAACAGAACAATAATAAAGAGCCTGGTTCAGACAGGCGAAGCAAGCGCTGTCACCCAGTGGGGAGGGCTGAGCCACCATTGTGTAACTGGACGACCGGCGATCGTCACAGATCCGCAGCAGTGGAGCGCAATGCCCTCGACGCATCTCCATGATTGGCGATGGCCTGTCGCGTGCTAAGAATAGGACTCGAGGACGCGTGGCTCGTCCGCCTGCGCCTTGTCATTATTATTATTCCCGACAGACGGAGTGCAGCGGCTGACTATTCCGGATTTAAGGGGAAGCTCGTATGAGACGGAGTACTTGGTAATGAATGCACAATTGCAGAAGACACAATCTGCTCTTTCGCCGTCTTGATGATACAGCTTCTTAATATTTATTTTTAATTATCTTTAATTATTCTAAGATAGGCCCACAAACCTTATCCCGGATCGACGGATTTAAGTAGCTTAGGCAGATCGTCACCTCGCATTGTCGCTTTGGCAACGAACGTCTTCACGTCATCGTTTACCTAATTCCGTTGCACTCGACTCTTCTCAGTTGTTGCATCAATCCAGCTAATGGCAGATTATTCTTGTCTTCTGAATGAGGGGCTGCCAAAGAAATCTCTCGTGAACTACGTAGTCAGATACTGGGAAAAAAAAATCATTGCAGGGTATCATTATATCTTCAATTTCGTATATCTATACTGTACAGTACATGTATATATCATATTATACACTCCTCAGGAGCAGCATCAACATTGCGCTGCCTGCAACCGGTTAGCTCGACTCCGCCGCAGAGAGAGCCTCGAGTTCGGTGGGTTCAGCAGTCCCTCCAAGTCGTCCTTCTCCTGCCCACCGAAGAGCGATGGGCCCCAGACCTTGATTAAGTCGCCGACGACTCGCGAAGCTTCGTATGGGTTTTCACGCCGCAACAGCCGGTTCCAGCGTCGACTCGAGAGTCGAGGACGCCCGAACAGCACCGCCAAGCGTTGTCGACATGCCCGACGAACCAGGCCCGGTGAGATCCAGACCCCTCGCTGCTGCAGTTCGCGGAGGAGCACTAGACCACGGACCCAGGGCACCAGGTCTTGGCCCTCAGCCCCTGGAATTTCATACCTCTTCTTCTTCTTGGAGGCCGGTCGCAGTTTGAATCCCCATGCGACAAGGGCCATCTGCATCTGAGGGTTGAAGACACGGCGCAGTACGCTTCGGTGCTCTGCCAAATGCGAACTCGCCGTGGATTTCCCCGCGTTCGACGCAGAGCCGGATAGATTACGGGCTATCGGGGGGTTCTCACTTGTCGCATAATGCCGCGCAAGCCACAGGCACAGGTTCCGGATTTCATTCCAACGGCAGAAATTGGCCATTCCTAGCCGCTTCAACGCTTCGAGCCACAATTCTGGATTGACCTTTCCTCCAAACTCGGCGACTTGCTGGAGAGTCCGAATCAGGAATGCCTCCTCGTCAACAGGACGATGACGACGTTTCGGGTGGGGAGCTTTCCCTGGAACCCGTGGTGTGAGCACATGCTCAATCATGAAATCGATGCTCCTGTTCGAGAGCATCTTTCCATTCCGATGAATCTCGTCGACGGTCGCCAAGGCAGCAGTCCATTCTTCGGCCGCAATATGCTTGCGAAAGTGGACATTAAGCAAGTCCGGTCCATCTTCGGAGATTTCGCTAAGGATGGTCAGGGTGAGGTTGTACTGCCGCCAATCTCGAGCCATGTAATAAGAAACCAAAAGTGACTCTTGTAAGTCTGCATCTTCAAGCACATCCGGGTGCTGGTCACTGTGAAGCAGATCGTGGAGCATGATGTCTCTATTCTCGGTTGCCAGTTTCTCAACAAGTCTCGAGAAAGTCGAGTCGCGGATAGCAATGCCGCCCTTGCGAAGCGCTGCAATCTTCTCCAAGATGTCTCTTGACCCGTTTGCTCTCAATGCCATCTCCCTGAGGGAAAGCGGTCCAATGGCAGGAACCCCGAACATTTGTAGACCACTGATGATCGTGTCCAAGGTGACCGCCGTTGTAGCAAAGAGTCGCGCTCCGAACTCATCTTTGAAAGGCTTTTCCTCCATAAGACTATTTCCGCCCTTTTCTTCAGTTGCGGTTCCTCCTGACTCAGGCTGAGACTGGCCTCTAGAATCTGTATCTTGACTATCCGGAGGTGCCAGTTTTTGTCGCAGACCTATCAGACCTTTTTTGATCCTTTTAACATCTTCCTTGATTTTCTTGCTAGGCCAAGGCCGCGACTGTTGCGTATATTCCAGCAACGGCCTGATATCTTCGAAGCTCTGAGGTAGGTCCCGACGGTTGACGAGGAAATCGTGCATGAAGATAGCGTCCACATATCGGCCCCTGCTTATTAGAGCTGGAATGACGGCATTGTATATTCTGTGGCCTTCGGTTGCTCGGCACATATCCTTGAAGGCCTGCAAGCCTGCACGTGAGCTGTCAACTTGTTCGTTTCTCGAGGCTAGGAACGGACCCGCGTAATTCCGCGGCTCACAAGACAACGCCTTATCCAGAACACGCACGATATCATTCGGATGCGACAGATGGGGATCTTGAAGCCTGCGGTGCCAGTGAACCGCCTGAGTAGGCAGACCGCGGTCCAGAAATCCACCAACGACTGCTTCATGAAATCGGGGCCACCGCTTTCCAGTCCTTTTCCAGAGCTCGCCTGCATAGTCCGCTAGGTCATTTAAGACCTGCTCCCTTTTCAACCCGATCCCGACGAAGCTCTGCCAGAAGAGATCCGCCTGTTCCCCTTCAACAGGCAGGTCGACGCCATCCACCCTTTGTGTCATACCTTCCCAGATGTCTAATGTGCCTTTTTCCCCATAATGGCGCTGTCGGTATCGAAGGAGCTCTTCCCACAGTTCGAAATCATTCCGCCGACTCGGATCGTCTACTAACCGGCTTCCGATGTCGTTCAGATGGCCCACGTCGGATTCGTATTCAAGTCTGTCAGGGTCCAGCACCCAATGTTTTTCGTCGTTATTTTTCTCAGTTAAATCTGGCTGAACTTGTATGGAAGGAGTAGTATGCTGTTTTCTTGTAGGCGTGATATCGTGAACACGGAGTTTGAATGCAGCTTCGGGCTCAGGCCGAGTTTGTTGAGCGGTCGAGTCGGCTCCAGCACCGGACAGGGAGACATCTTCGCGAAAGGCCGCCCTCTTGTGATCCCGACGTATCTGGCACTTGATGCACCTACGACTGACATCCAATTGCTCAATGCCCAAGGGGTTCGAGACAAGATCGCCTAGGAAGGAGACAGCTGACGGCCTCTTCAAAAGCCGCAGCAGAGCCGGGCGCATCAGATGTAGCTAGCGGCGGACAGGAATGGCTGCGGAAGCTATCAAACATTCTTATAGTAATGCATCAATCAGAACATAATTCATTTCCACCAGACGCGGCGAGTTCTCGCAATGTCAAGAAGCAGGCCCATTCCCAATTTCCCACGCATCACAATACCCGATTTGGCCATCCTAAAAGAGGTTAGCCTGAACTGCAGTAGTTTACATTGTTTGTATCAATAGTCACGTGACGGATCATGCTCGCTCGACTAATCCGGTGACCCGCGCGGGCCGAGCGATGCCCGAGAGGTCAAGTCGAACCTCATCCGACACTTGCATCACGAGCACCAGCATCGCTCTTCCTGCCATTGTCCTCCACCACACCGCGGAAGCTCTGTATTTTCCTCTCCAAAACTCGCAAAGATGGTCGCTCGCACGATTCCCCGGCTCGCTGGGTGAGTAAATCTCCGTCTTTGTCCCCAGAACGGCTCCACACTGTCAGCGTCTGGTGGAATTCTTTTCCATCAACTGCTTCAAGTCCTCGCGAGGAGTTTCTATGCTCTGTGGGTTGCCAATTGCCAGTGCTGATGATCATTTCTTTGATATAGTTTCATCTACCGCGAGAACCGCGTGCCGTACTACCAGCGTCTCTTCCAGCAGAACGATGGCAAGCGCCAATGGTGGAAGGTCAGCTCGTCCCAGCGGGTTGCTATTCCGGATGCTCAAGAATAGGGTGTTTCTGACTCTTTTCTCTAATCTGCAGACTGAGCGGAGCGGTTACATCCTGTACCCCTACTACGTCTCCCTCTATGGCACCACCCTCAGTAAGTGGACCGTTTCCAGATGACCGACTTGCATGTTACTGACGGCGTCGCTTCTACAGTCACCACCTACGCCATGATTCGTCTCGTTCTGGTTAGTTTTTAGCGCCCTAATACCGGAGACTCCTTCGATCTGCAACATGTGATCTGAGACCGGCAATGTCGAAATGTACTAACGATTTCAACAGGGCAAGAAGACGTTCTTCGGTAAAGACTAAACGATTCGAATGGTCGGTCAGGCTCCGTCAAAGCCAAATTACTCGGTGATGTGCCATTATTGAAAGACATTGAACTGGGGAACATGGTTTGACGGTGTATATAAGATAGAGGAGTCAAATCAAAGAGAAGAACTTGGTTCCACACAATTCGTGCCTTGACTTTTGTTTTTAACAGGATCATCTTATTAAATGCATTGCATTTGAGCGGTTAATAACCGCATGCCACACAAGCAACAGGGACTGATCTACAGTCAGGCTGACTTCGCGCTCAGCCTACTTTCGACATATTATTTCCCCATGGGTGATAGTGAACCAGCCATCTTTCGACTTGCCCCATTCCTGCCATGTTTCCGCTATCCGCTCCAGATCTTCCTTGGAGCAATGTCCACCCTTGACGACGGCATTCTCGACATAACTCGGGGCAAGCACCCTCTCGGCCCAGATGTTACTCCACCACTCCCTCTCCGCCGGCTCGCTGAAGCACCAGGTCCCCGCGGAGCAGGTGATGGCTTCGCGCGGAAACCCGGCTTCCTGGGCCCAGACGTGCAGGTACGATCCCGGGTCGGGGTTGCCGCCCATCCCCCGCGCGACCCGGCGGTAGATGTCGTACCACGCGTCCAGGCCCTCGAGACGCGGATACCAGGTCATGCTGGCCGTCTCGCGCACGGCCACGATGCCGCCGGGCTTGGTGACGCGGCGCATCTGGCGGAGGGCGCGGACCGGGTCCGGCACGTGCTGCAGCACCTGGTGGGCATGCACGACGTCGAAGGTATTGTCGGCATACTCGTCCAGATAGAGCACATCGCCCACGGCGAACGTCGCGTTGGTGATGCCCTTTTCCTCCGCCAGCGCGCGGGCCGGCGCCAGCGGCTTGTCCGCGTAGTCGATCCCGATGATGTAGCCGTCCGGCACGTGCCGGGCGAGGTCGAGCGTGATGGTGCCCGGTCCGCAGCCGACGTCGAGGATGGTCATGTCCCGCTTGAGGTAGGGCAGGAGGTAGGCGGCCGAGTTTGCGGCCGTTCGCCATTGATGCGTGCGCAGCGTGGCCGGGTTGTGATCGGAGGCGTAGACCGAGGATGGTTTTGGCAGTTCTTGCGTCGACATATTTATTATTTTTATTATGCGTATCTGCTTCCCCTTCTCTGCTAGTTTGATCAGCAAGCAATTCCTACGAAATCTGATTCTGTAACGTTGCCTGGAGTTGATGAGATGGTAGTTCACTTACTATCCTCGGTGTATAAGTCCTTAGCTAAGTAAATGAGCGGTAGGGTAGCTCTGCTCTCAATCTTTTTTCTCTTTCTGATTTGCCAATAGAACAAAGTTGAAATAAAATAAATAATAAAGCTGCTTATCGAGCTTTATATAATGTAGTGTCGTGGTCAATGTACGAAGTAAATTAATTGTATTTAAAGACTGGCATTAATTATTATAATTCTTATCGAGTTCCACCTTAGCATCGGAACTCCGAAACGGTGACGACAATCACCCACAATCGAACCCCGGAATTCCGATCATCTGGGGAGGGGAGTTGGTTGTGCCAAGAACAGGCTTGACCTAGGTACGTACGGAGTTCTTCACACCATGTATATACAAAACACAGTGCTGAATTGATATCCATTAGATCATTTGCTTCTATAGAGGATGATGTATACAGTACATACATCTTTTCAGATTCCAGAAGACAGGCAGAGAGAAGATATGATACACACCCTGTTCATTCCTTTCATGCCTCGTCGATTCCTTTTCTTCTTTCATTCCCTAATTAAATCTTGCCTTTGGATAATAATTATCAATACAAGCTCGAAGCTTAAGGAATTACATGTAAGGCGTAGAAGAGTCGCAAATTATGCCCGTCGGGTGTTCTTCTTGAGGAGCCGTCTCTGCTCCTTTTCCTTCTCGCGCTCCAGGAACTTGCGCTGCTCTTCGGCACTCATGTTACGCAGGGCCCGCTCCCGCTCTTCTTTCTTCAGCTTCTCGGCCGCGAGCTTGCGCTCCTCGGCCTTCTCTTCCTCTTCGGCTTTGCGAATGCGTCGGATCTCCTCCTCACGAGTGTTGCGCAGCTTGCGCACCACCTCCGGTCGGAAATGCGCCGTAGACACCAGCACATCGGGGAGACGCAGAAACAGATTGAACAGAGGCATGGTTGCTGAATAGCCGGAGGGAGAAGAAGGCACACGAAGGGAAATCTGAACGCGCTTCCTGGGGGTTGTCTCTTCGATCCTGCGTGGGTCAAGTCGTCAGCATAAGATGAACTTCAAAACAATACCATCATATCACACATACTTCGTGGGCTTGTCCACAGGCTGGTCCGTAATAATCAGGTACTCAAACGCATCAGCAGCCTGTTCAATGGCCTTGGAAAGCTCCGGAGTAAGCAGATGGTCGGTAATCTCCGCACTCTCGCTCATGACCGTCACCCAGCTCGGAAGCTTGGAGTTGTCCTTGGTAAAGGTCAAGGAGGCATCGTAGCGTTCCTGCCGGAACTTGCGCATGTGGTTCTTGTGCACAACGGCCCAGATGAAGCCATCGTAGGTGGAATTGGGGACTTTGATGGAGCTAGTATCTCCCGCGGGGACCGGCACGAGATCCTTTTCCCTGCCATCAAAAGCGTATGCCGTCGCCTCGAATCTCTCAACCGGTTGCGGCCAGCTGTCGAAGATGACACTGAGGATATGATCCATCACGAAAATGATGGGGTTGTATCGCTTGAGCAGCTTAATTGAGACATCCAAGAAGGCGACGTTCTGCCGACCGGTCGCGTAGGACTGGAAATCCTGTGCCGTCTTCTCTTTCAACAGGGTCTCTGGCTCGATCAGCTCAGACTTCACCGAGGCCTGCGCCAGTCCTTCCGACTCAACCGCTTCAGCGGTGATCGGCTTGCGAATGCCACTGAACCCGACCACGGCGAATTCATTCTGGAGGACGGGCGCATGAACCTGTGCCCATGCTCTGGCCTTGCTCCTGTTCTTGCGCGTGCCCCAGAAGTGGAACGCAAAGATCAGGATGACGAATGGCAGGACAAACGCCTCTTGCAAGAAATCCCGGGGAGTCGTCCGCTCCCACACCCGGTACCATTTCGTGTACGGTACGCTGGGGACTCCTGGTGTTGACACAGCCGGCGACGGAGCGGAGCTTGCGACCGAAAGAGGCGATGGATCGGGAGCGCCAGCAAAGTCGGCAAAGTCTGTCGCGTTAGGGAAAGAAATATTGTGTTAGTTCGGCATTGAAAGGCCTCCAATTGAAGCAATTGGTTGTTTGCTAGGAGATGCAAGAAAAACACGAGGACTTACCATCATCTGGCTTCGCTGGAGCGAGCGACGGGGACGCCCCGCCAAACACGTTTTTGAACACTCCTGCCATCGCGAGAGGAAAGTATTTTACAGCCTGAGTCCTCCTTCAACCCACGATCAGGGGATTTCGCAACGTGGCGCTGGGGTGGAGAAGAAGGGAAGACGACCGAGTGTGGAGGTCCGCGGCGGCGAGGCCGAGCTTGACTAGCAGCTCGATTGCTCCCAGGGCGCGATTCCGCACTAGACCCCAGCCGGCAAAACCTACGAGATATGGATAGGCAAAGTTCGAAAATTGAAAAAAAAAAGGATATTTGCAATGGCTCAGAAAAGTAATCTGTATGTACAAAAGAAAAACAAACGAGAGGCAATGCGAATCTATCTCACGGAGAGGAGTTGTTAAAAGACACGAGAGCATAAACAGCACACAACAAGGTACCAGAGTGTCTCCCAGTCAGATAACAAAAGCTGGCAACAGAATTCCCAAGACCGATGGTATCTCAAGAAAATAGAACCAGAAATCATACCGCTAGCCACCCAGATACTAATACAATGCAAAACCCATATCGCTCGAAAATCAAAGAAAAAATGCCGATTAAAAAAGGTAAAAGCGCTCCCAAACCCATAACATCGTAACGGTCGTAAATCCTGCAACCAGGCATAGTCTGACTAGAAGACGAACTGGTCTTTCCAAAACAAACCAACAAACACTACAAAGGAAATAGTGGACTTGTTTCCTTCTTTCTTTCTTTCTTTTTTTTCTCTCATGCGCAACGGCTCACTGGCCATACGCTGGAGGGGGCATCTCCTCTCGGCTGTGGCCTTCCCAGAAGTTGCCGTACTGCACTGAGCCTGAGGATTTCTCCTCTTGCATTTGACGCGCAATCTCGCCGGCCATCTTCATAACCCACGCATGCTCCACGATGCCACTGTTGGGAGGCATGTCCATATAGGGGAGCACATAGGCGGGAAGAGGTCGTGGAGGAGCTGAGAACGTGGTGTCACGTTTCTCCGAAGGATGTGACGATTGCGTTTGCTGGTGGACGGAGCTGCGAGGCGTCGCATCCGGGTCAGAAGCTCCGGAGGCGGCATGCTGATGCTCAGAGGCACCTGTAACTGGCGCAGATGATGACGTCTCTGCAGACTCCGAGAGGAAGTCACCGGGGATTCCTCGACGAGGCAGAGTCCGAACGGTTTGCTTGGAAAGACTACCGCTCAGTCTTCGTCGCTCATTGATGGTGGGCAGTCGCGCAGTCTTCTGAGGGGACAGGGGAGGAGTCACGGGGTCGTCGTTTTTCTCATCCGAAATGTTTGGTGGAGAGGAGAAAACGGTGGGAGCGCTCGTGGTGGTCTCTGCGTAAGTGCTCTCTCCGCTCACGCTTTCCACATCGTCGGTGGTCTTCGGACGGCGCAAGTCGACTACGCGCTTCTTTCGTTTTCTGGCATGCGCCTTTGAGTGGCGCCCAGAACCCAAGCTCAACCCAGATCCACTGAAGCTATGAACTGACGAGGATCCCCGGCTCTGCATGGACACAGTACTTGCATTATCAACGAATGAGTGAAGTGAACCCACATGTGAATGAGTCCGGGACAGCGTGGGACTTAGTGCCGACGATGTTAGAGCTGCAGTACTTTCTCCTTGCTCTGACGGACCGGTCCATGCCCTGTACACAACTTGCTGAATGGAAGGTGTGAACAGGGACAAAGTGCGTTGTGAGTCCGTCAACGCCGCCAGGCGTAATAAATTCTTTTGAGAGAACAAAGAGTGGATTTCGACGCCGGAGTCCAGCGATAACGACGCGATTTCGGAAGGATTCAGGGCGTTTCCCTGGGAGTCCACTGGGTCCTGAGGCGGACTGGCCAATGGGTCCTGGCCAGGACCTTCCAATGAAGCCTTATCCGCTCGCTCCTCTTCCGCTGCTGCGCGATCACGATATTCGGGCACCCACAGCCTCAAGGACAGTCGGTGAATGATAGCCGGCAGTTCATCCATAAATAAGATTCGCAACTGGCCTTCGATTTCCTTCTGTAGGTAATCACGCACGAAAGGGATCGAGTCGAACGTCGATGAAACCTTGAGTGACTCGAGAGGATCGTTTCTGAAGACGACCGTGATACCTTTCTGTTTCGAAAAGACGAGGATGATGAAACCCGACAGGCGAAAATCAGAGAGGGTAATCTGAAGGGGAATGGTTAAGCCGGCTCTGTGAGAAGAGTTCATTAGTCGTGCGCGTTCTTGAAGAAGCTCGGTACCCAACTTACGCAGCGGCCAGAGGCTTTGGCGATGCAAAGGACGGTCTTGTCAACAGGTATGTATTGAGAGGATTTGCCTGGACCCGCGTCCTAAGAGTTAAGAATGCATCTCCAGCGTAGGACATCTTGAAGATGCCGCGAAAGCGATCTTCGGCCAGGTCGCCAATCTCGAGGATCTCCAGCTCTGGCGGAATCGACCCCAAGTTCAGCTCGGTCACAATAATGTCGTCGACGATGATCGGAGGCTTCGGCGACTTATTGAGCGCAGCCGTCAAGAGATCCTGGGCGCGGGTGTAGAAACCCGCGTCCGCCATCAGCGGCGACCAGTTGAAGTTGAAAGCCATCGCAGCGCATCGAGTTCGACGTCAAGATAAGTCCCTCGAAGAGAATTTTCACTTTTGAAAAGCGACGCTGGGCGCGCTTGGAGACGGGCGCTGCGAAAAAATCGAGGGCGGGATGAGGGCCTCGGCTTCTCGTGGGATCGCGTGCTGTAAGGCGATTCCTACGCTTTCCTATCGATCCCGTGACAAGCAACAGAGCTATGAGGGGGCGACTCCATCCACGTCCAATGCACTCAGGCAGCCGACATACAGAAAACAGGCATCGCCCAATGGACCGGGAGACAATCACGGCTGATAATATAATTATCACAAGGGACCGATTGGAAGGGACGGAACAGGAACGCCGACTATTTGGGGGAAGATGTCCGGGCCGGAAAACAAGGAAAGGGGGAAAAAATTGCACGGGAGGCGGGAAGAGCAGGAACAACCCGCTCCCGGCCGGGCCCATACGTCACTTCCCTGTCTATGTTGTTTCCTTTTTGGTCCAGACAGCATCCATCGTCCGCCTCCTCCAGGCCCCTGTCACGCTATCTAGATAATATGCTCGAAAGGCATGGAACATGAATCATGGCCTGCATCAGCCAAGTACCTCCAAAGTGCATGGATTCTTTTCTATTCTCCTGCACCTTTTTAAATCTGACTGCCTTTATAATACGACAATCTTTCATCCAATCCAAGCTCGCCACAGCTTGTATCGCTCAATCATCCATTTCAACGCCTCACGCGAGAATTACAAATAGTCACGTGACTAATGTGATGCAATATTCGACCAATATATGAAGCACACCGTAGTCGCAGAGTACTGACCCCTGCATGAAGTGACAAGCACACTGATTGAATGACAAGAATACTCCGTATGCTCACCTGTCGCATTCCCGTTAACTTCCCTGCCTAAGGCCGTTGTTTCAGACCACCGAAGAAGCTTGGCGACTGTTTAAACTTCTGCCAAAGCCGGTCCGGGAATGTGGAAATTTTTCCCGATGCGACCCGTACTATTACTATTCCTGGCATACAGATTACACTAATCTGGACTCCGTGCGTGATACGATTCAAGATTGTTAGACCCGCATAACCATACGCTCCCGACTGCTCCATACAGGGATCATCCCTCTTCGATTTCAGAAAACGTATCGGACCAGACGCGTACTCCGTACAGATGCCGCATTTCTGTGGACTTCCTAAGAAACTCACCGTGGCAGTTTCAAACACAACGCCAAGCTCACCGAAGACCTGTCATCCTGTCCTTAATTGCTCCATTTTATGTCCTCGTTTCAAACTAATTGGTCTGCTATGTATAATTCACGCAGCTGCCATAACCTCACAAGTGAGTCACCACCTACAACGCTAGTGAGTCCGGAGACGATCGCGCGGCATTCATTATTCTGATCGACACGGGAAGCATGACCTGTGACACTCAATACCCCCCAATTGGCCCAGACAGCAATGAAAAAAGCGGGAGAATTACCTATACACTTGGCGAGAATTCAATCTTAATTGGCGGGATGAGCGCTGTAGAGTAAGTCGCATTGGCCAGAAGAGTTTCCCTATCTCCATCTACCGAGTATGGAGTGTCTCTCAATCAAAAAAAGGCATATGCATGTATCAACATGTGCTCCATTCTCCATAGATAAGCCTATCTCCAAGATTAATTTCCTGTATCAAGTTTGTGGCGAGCCTGAGGCAGTGATTTCACGCCATAAAAAGCAATGCTAGACACTGATTGGTCCTATCCGCAGCAATGTTAATCCGCCCCGAAAGGAATTCCTCTCGCTGTGGCAACAATATCCGCTAAGCCCATTACGGAAAGAAGTCAATAACCGTCCTACAAGCGGAGGTACTCCGACTTTCAGGGCCACGATCAGTTACAGAGCCATCTCTCAGGCAGGATTCCTGAGGATATACCTCCATATCCGTGTGCTGGTGTTGGATTTGCTTGTTGGAAAGTGCCTTCTGCTTTAATTTCATGGTTCGAGGCCTTGATTGTGCTTTGACAGTCCGCTTTCGCTAGCACATAGCCCTCGTCAGCGCATACCTAGGTAGCACCCTTACAACATGTTTTCGCCCTTAGCGCCAGCAGCATCAGACAACGGTACACTTTTACATCGAAAACCCAGGACTCGAACCGTTGCACAGAAAAAAGTCTACGGGAAGAGGAGGATCAATGCGCCTTGTGCGGTTCTGGACGATGGAAGTCCTCTCAAAGGAACGAGTAACAATGCCAAGCCCAATATCACAACGAGCAAGCCAGATACGGTCGATGAAGAAGTTGCGGAGGTAGAAGAAAAGCTGGCGGCGATCAATATAGACGAATCCAAGCCCAATAGCGATGAAGGCGAGAAGCAGGAAGTTCGGACAGCGACTCCAGCCAAAGAGCGCCGCCGGATATCCATCAAGATGGCAAATAGATCGCCAAAACAGGAGAAGACGGAATTGAGAACTCCAGTCAAGATTCAGCAAGATGCAGAAACTGACGCGAAGACGAACGTTGAGACAAGAGACAACACCCTGGCAGAGCAGACTTCGTCAAGAAGAGATCTCAAGAAAAGGTCTCCAAGGAGGAAAAAACCGGCTCCTCGATTGTCTTCAGGCTGTATTCAAGATGAAAAGACCAATGCATATGTTCGCCAGATTCTCGATGAGGCGGTGTCACCAATTGCATCGCAAGGGGTGCAGAAGTTCAGTTCCTGGGCGGCCCGATCAGAGAGTGCGTTCGATGCAGTGAAGATTGCGGAGGGGTCGTATGGTGAGGTGTACAAGCTCCGACTTAAGGAGGATGTATGCAAGCATGAGATGTCAAAGTCCAGGCTCGCGAAACTGCGTTCCTATGGAGAAGGAGTCTTCAAGATCGTGCCCCTGAGAGCGCAAACGGGACCTGGGTCGAAGAAATTCACTCGCGTGGACGAAATAGTGGCAGAGGTGAAATTGCTGAAGCTGTTGGATCCCATTCCTGGATTTGCGAGGTTCAGAGAAGTACACGTTGTCCAAGGGCGCTTTCCGGAGTCTTTCCAGAAAGCGTGGATGACATACAAACAGACCAAGGATGACTGCATGAACCCGAATCCAGCCAACAAGAGAGCTTATCCAGACAATCAACTCTGGGCCATTCTGGAAATGGACGACGCAGGATTCGAGCTCGAGAAGTTCTCCTGGTCCTCCATTTTCCAAGTGTACGATATATTCTGGGGAGTTGCAATGGCCTTGGCAAGGGCAGAAGAATACGCACTTTTCGAGGTAAGAACTTCGCCATGCATCTTTTCTAAGAAACGTTCAATACTGACCGTGTGAAAGCATCGAGATCTTCACATGGGCAATATATGTCTAAGGTCGACAAGACCGGATGGCCGTATGGACCCACCAACCACGATCGACATGAAGCAGTTTGAAAAGTCCAGCGGGTTTGGCATCAGCTCCCTTGAGACCACAATCATCGACTACTCGCTGTCGCGCGCGGAATTCCGACTGAGCGATGACCCTGAGGCAAAGGTCGAGGTTGCATCATCCGATCTTGACAGCAAGCAGCTTTTTGATGCTATTGGCCGAGATGAGGACGAGATTCTGTTGAGAGACACATACAGATAGTACGTTTATCTGAATTTCCGTGACTTGAAAAAAAGAGGAAAGCAAAACTGACTGAAAATCCAGCATGCGTGGTCAAGTATATACCGGCAATCCGCTAGATCCAGAAAAACCACCCTCCATCCCAGGCATATGGGCAGAATACACGCCCAAGACGAATCTCATATGGCTCTTATTCCTCCTGAAGAACCTCCTGAAACATATGAAGACACCAGAAACCAGCAGTACTCACCAGCAGCCCTCGAGACAGCCCCTAGTGCCATGTCCAAGCAAGGGGAACATGCAACCAGCTTCATCGCATTCACCGACAAAGACCCCCAAGAAAGAAGCAATCGAATGTTCCCATCCGGAGACGATGATGGACCCCCAAGCCAAAAGAGCCATCGCGTCATTCCAGCAGAAGCTCACCGACCGACTGCACAAGGTCCTGGAGCTTCTGGACCTGGAGCACGGCCGCGAGGACATGTGCTGTGCAGCAGATCTGGTCGCCTACGCGATTGACCAGCACTGGCTAGACGAGAAGGACTTTTTCCTGTCGTGATATAAGCCATGGCTTTAGCTTCTTCTTCCTCCTCCTCTTTTTCCTCTTTTTATTTTTTGCATTCAGTGTAAATGGTTGCATATTTTTTTCTTTTATATAATATGGGTGGGTTGTTTTCCCCGTTTCTTGTCTCCTATCTCATCGCGTCTCATTGCATTGTATTGCGTTCGTTTGCATGGTATAGAAATGGTATGGTATTGTATGGTATGGAGTTGGAGTTGGAGTGGTGTTCTTGATCTGGAATGGGATAGAATAGAATAGATACATACATAGACAGCAATATAATGAATGTAGTTAATTACATACTTGAGACACCTTTACCTTACGAAACTTTCTAAAGAAATAAACTTCATTTTGGGGAAAAAAAAGTATCTTTGGATTAGATTAGATTAGTTACTCTATATATACCGCATATTATACTAAAGTCTATATATATAGAAAAAGGTAAATGATAACTATGCTATGATTCTATGCTGCGCAATACTTACTCATCAATAGGGAGAGTAGCTACGGCATTATCTTCACTTTACGCTTGGATAAAAAAAACACCGAGATATGTTTAGTTATATGGTTTTTGTCCTGGCTCACGCGCCAGCAACGAGGAAACTGAGCAGACTTCCTGTCGTCAAGCCGGCCACGAGCATCATGCTCATAAAGCCTCCGGCAGCTTCCCTCTCGTCCACAGTGACATACCGTCCCGCGCCCATCATGCAGCTGCTGCTCAGGAATCCGTTCGTGAGGCCGAACCCTAGCTGGACCACGAACAGATAGAAGAAGTCGCTGTTGCCGATACCGACGGGGCCTCGGCCGCGGATGTTGCACAGCAGGTACAGAGGGATGAACACCAGGCGCAGGACGGCGAGGGCGAACAGCGCTCGCGGATACCGCGTCAGGTCCGCGAGCTGAGGCACCAGCACGGACAATCGGCCCAACAGGTCGCCCATGTTCCAGAACAGGAATGCCAGAGGGATGAAAATGGCTGGTTCAAAGAGCCGCGAGCGGCTGGACGGGTCCTGCACGGACTCGATCTCCGCCGTGAAGACGGGGAAGACCATCGTGACGGTGAAGCAGAGGTAGACGGCGAGAGCCAGCCACTGTACCTTCTTGAACAGACTCCATAGTCCAAACGTCTTGCGGGTTGTAGCGGTCTCCTCGTGGTCGGCGACGCCATCGTCCAATGCTTTGGCCCACGAGCCGGATGTGCGCTTCGCAAGGTGAAGAAAAGCTCCCAAGGCCAAAGCAGAGATAACCGTGGCCGTCATAAAATAGGCAAAAGCCGACTTGGACGACTCCTTCAGCTGTGCCAGACTGCTACCCGTGTCTCCCCTCTCCGGAACCGCGAGAACGGACAGGATCTGCACGATGCACGGGAGGACGCCGGCGACGCCCTGGCCGGCCATGATCCCTTGTGTGTATTCCGGTCTTCCGAACCCCGAGACGTACGCAAAGACGCCGTTCTGATTCATGCCCGTCGCTAGACTGGCTCCGAAGACCATGGTCATCACGAAGAGGAAGTACATTCCAACGGAGAGATCCTTATACCACACGGTTGACAGTGTCAGAAGGAAGAACACGACGATGAGGAGTACAAGAGATGCCGCGATCCGTTTCGGATAGGAGGCATTCTTCTGCATCTTTGCGAGAACCAACACACAACCGAGGTTCGTCACTGTCGAGACTGACAGAATGAATGGCTGGTAATGCTTCACGGCCCATTCGCTCGAGTGGAAGCGACGGCGGAAGTACGGTGCTGCAGCGAGGAACATGTTCCTGGAAAGCAAGAGATTAGTACTTCATCTTAGACAACGAACAAGCAGCCGATTATCTGCCATCTGACATGTCAATCACTCCAATGTGATTGATTAATTGAGCGATTGACTCGAGTTATCTGCAAGTCGACTGACTGAAATGGGTGAGAACGTGACATTCGAACATACCAAGCCCACAACATCGCTACACCCAATAGCACAAAGACAGAGTATGTCATCCATGAAAATGGAGTTTTCGGCCGCTCGTCCCCCTCCGCTGTCATCCGCGCACCCTCGCGTCTGCCAATGTTCGACTCGTCATTGCGGAGCGGCTCGTAGGAAGCACGAGGAGCAACTAGCTTCCGGATGCGGTCCATTGTCTCGTCTCACACTCTCTGTTGTTCTTTTCTTTTCTTGCCTTTTGGCAAGCCGGGAGGAAATAGCTTGGGAGTGCTGGAGGAGGCTCTGTCAGAGCATCCCCGCCGGTTGAACAGGGGGCAAGAAATAAACCGATAGCCTGGTTGGTGCTCGACGTAATAGTTGATGCTCCTCCACGTGATAAGCAAGTTCCGCTGTAAGCAGTCACATGGAAAACAATGCCAAGACCACCCGCCTGCCTATCACAACAGTGCTGTTGTTCACAGTACCTATCATACTTCCCCAACACAATTGTAAAAGCCATTTGCATGGAGAAGTTTAGCTTAGATGAAAAATGAGAGAGAAGAGTGGAAGTTTCGTATCTATATGCATACAATTCCCTAGCATGGCAAGTCGTCTATGCAATGTCTAGACAAAGTCCAAGGACGTCTATCATACATACAATGGAAAAAAAAAAGGAGCTGTATAAAACACAAAAATCCCAGATAATGCAGCGGACAATTCTATTCCCGCTGCAATGCAAAAAGGAAGGTGTGCTTTTTTAGACGAAACTGAAGGAGATAGCCACCATCTGTCAGATGATTTAGCCCAAGGTTTCCAGCTTCATACGAAGAGAGAAAAATAATTACAGAAAAATTCAGATGCCGAAGAATTCGCATAGAAAGGCAATAGTGGGAGAGGAAAATGGTGAACGGGTATGAGGAGTTGGGAGGTGAGGGACAGCTTATGCCTGGAAAGCAGGTTGAAGCTGCTGAAATCAGAACCAGTGAAAGATGAATAAGAGCTGGACCACCACAGGAGCGGGTGGATGCTCATCCGTTGGCTCTTGGTAGATTTTTAACAAGGTCTGGTATCTCAGCCCTGTTTATGGGCTTTGAATTCGCTCTGATCCTTCACTTCCTCCTCCTCTTCTGCATCCACTTCATGTTCCTCCTGGTGAAGCTGCTCCAGCTGCTCTTCATAAGTAGGAGGACCTTTTTGAGCAACAAGCGGATGTTGCGGCATGTCACCACCACTCATCTGCCACTCCATAAGCTTCGTAAACGCTCCGTCAGGCCGGGAACTGAGTTCCTGGTATGAGCCCTGCTCTGCAACTCGTCCATCAGGGCCCAGAACGATGATGGTGTCGGAGCGCTTGATAGTGGAGAGTCGGTGAGCGATGCTGATGGTAGTGTTGTTGCCACGGAGCAAGGCCGCCAGAGCGCTGTTCACCAGAGTCTCGGATTCGGCGTCGAGGGCAGAGGTTGCTTCGTCGAGGATCAGAATATCAGGGTCTTTGATCAGAGCTCTAGCAATGGCGATGCGTTGTTTCTGTCCACCAGATAGTTGTGCGCCACGGGGCCCAACATGAGTGTCCAGGCCGTCCGGCTTGAATTAATGTCAATGGCATTGTCCCATTCCGATGCGAGGAAGTGTACTTACGAAGTCACTGATGAACTGGCAGTTCGCCTTCCGCGCTGCTGCGACAATCTCGGCTCTGGTCGCTTCCGGCTTGCCATATGCGATATTCTCCGCGATCGTACCCGAAAACAGGACAGGCTCTTGGGAAACGATCCCGATCTTCCGTCGTAACGACTTGGCATTCATTCCACTGATGTCCTTGCCATCGATCAGGATGCGTCCCTCAGTAGGGTTGTAGAATCGCAGAAGGAGGGACGCAATCGTCGATTTGCCTCCTCCAGAAGGACCCACGATAGCCACATTGGAGCCCTGGGGAATCTCGAAATTCAAATCCTTGAAGATCGTCACAGCAGGCCGAGTCGGGTAGCTGAAACTGACGTTCTCGAACCGGATTGGACCGCGTGCAGAGGTGACCTTTTCACCTTTAGTGGGAGAGATTGTCGGTAGCCTGTCCTGCAGTTCAAACAAGCGACTGGCTGCACCAACGCCTTTCATCAACTCTGAGTAGAAATTGGACAAGCCAAATAAGCTAGACCCAGCATATGCAGTATACATAAGGAAAGACGTCAGTTCACCGAGCGTGATGGCGCCCGACTGTACTAAGCCTCCTCCCACATAGAGGAGACTCAGAATCGTCATGTTGCCCATGAGACCTGTCTAGAAGGGCATTAGAACGCCTCCACGTTCAGATACAGAGACTACTTCGCGTCACCTACCGAGCTGAAGAAAGTTGCGCTAATGATTGAGTCTTTCTTGCCCAATTCAAAAATCTTCCGGACTTGAGAGTTGTAACGGTGGACCTCCTGAACCTCTCCTGCAAAGGACTGGCTAGTTTTCACGTTCCCAAGACGTTCCTCGGCAATCTTGGTCAACGTGCCCAGATTTTTCTGGATCTTACGACTCAAGTTGCGGATCGCTCGGCCGTAGAAGAAAGCTGCCAGTCCGATGGGGGGAAGGAGGATAGCCAGGACGCTAGAAAGCTTCAGGCTCACATACGCCATCGCTGCGAAGCCAGCAGCACCACTGACAAACGCTCTCAGACCGTCAGAGAGATTTTGAGTGATGCTCTTGCCCACGATAAGGGTATCCGAGCTGAGCCGCGAGATCAAGTCACCCACGCGATTGGCGTCAAAGAACTCTGCGTCTTGGACAAAGGTTCGCCGGAACAGCTTGGAACGCTGCCGCGCGACGACCCTCTCGCCCACAATACGGAGAATGATGATTCTTCCGTAGTTTGCGGCGGCTCCAAGGACGAGAATGCCAGCCAAAGCGCCGTAGAACATGGGAACACTAAGTCCAAACAATTCATTGGTTCCTTCAGCGTTGCTCTTGGTCACAATGTCCATGATCTTTCCAATCGAGAAGGGGATCGACATCGTGATGCCGGAGGAGATCAGGAGACAGAGGAACGCAGCGGCGAGCCATTTCGCTTCCGGACGAGCAATTTGCAGCAGCCTCCATATCTCCTGCAGACCCGGCTTTTTCCCGCCGCCCTTGGTGTCGCGTCCCAACTTCGCGCTCAGATTTATCTGCGCTGCTTGGGCAGCTCTCTCTGACAGCTGGAACCCTTGCTGTGAATCCACCTCTTGGTCTCGGACAACTTTCGAATCGACTTGCTTCACGGCTTCCGTCGTCTGTGGCTTCACATCATGCACCCTCCGGGTCGCAGACAGCAATCGGATTTGCTCTGTCACAGCGGAATGCGGAGAGGAGCGGCATGGCGTCGGAGGGAAGGTTCGTAAGGGCGAACGGAAACGAGGTATACCCGAGATCACCGTCGGACTGACCGGGTGCTGAGCCTTCGAGTTTTGGGTGGTGAGGTGGCGCTGCCCGTAGGTTCTGGAGCACAGGCTGCCGACAGCGTCTCCCCCGAACTGGCTCTGGCTGAGATATCGAGGTCCAGCCCTTGGGGTCCAGACAGCCAGCAGCTTGGAGCTGCGCATGGCTGACAGCGGTGGGCAGACTCCGGAGGCCTTTTTCAAACCGATGTCGCGGGAACCAACGGTGCCATATCACGCAAGATCAAGCGTCCGACTCGCAATTGCCACGACATGCGGCGGTCGCCAGCGAGCCCATGAACAGAGGAAGCAGTCGCGCAGAACGAGCGCAGCGTGACGGCGTGCTGTACCGATGTCCTCCAGCGGCAAGCAGGGCCGTCCGGACTTGCCCGACCAATGCGGACGGCGGACGCGGGCACCAAGCAGAGGATTCTGCCGGCGCTCACCGCCTGCGCGATGAAGTCCGTGGAAGCCCATCGAGGATCTCGAGGGTTCTAGCTACTTGCCCACGCCTGGAAAGGGGCGATTATAGAAATAAGTGTCTGACGGTCCCAGCCCTCACCGTAGCTGCTCTGCCTTCTGCCCAAGGCGCTCGCTAGAATCTTCCGCTCCGCCCAGCTCATACCTAGAACTCTAAGCACCCCCCTTCTCTACCCCGCCCTCCTCGCCCCTCCTTAGCTTCGCTTCTGTGTGTACGAGGCAGCGTCGCCCACCACGCCGCCGAGATGGTGCTTGACTACAGCAAGTGGGATGCCCTAGAGCTGTCCGACGACTCGGACATCGAGGTGCATCCCAATGTCGACAAACGATCTTTTATCCGGGCGAAGCAAAACCAGATCCACCAACAGCGTTGGCAACGCCGCCACGAGATCCAGACCCTGAAGTACGAGCGCATCATCAACGATGGCCTGCTGGAGCGCATTGACAGGCTCCTGGACGCCCTCCGTCAGCATGAGGACTCGAACCGGGATCCTGACGAGCTGGTTTTCCAGTGCCTGATCGAGTCGGCCGGTGACCCCAGCCAGGACCAGCCGCCGCCACCGCCAGAGGGCGTCCACACGCAGGAGAAAGAGCAGCCCAAGTACTCGCAGATGATGAGCTCCCTGGTGGACCAGGTGAAGAAGGAAATCGAGGAGTCGAACGCTGAAAACCGATACCAGGCATACATCACGGGAGTGCAGGGACACAAGAACAAAGTGATGGGCCTCCAGCAAGAATTGCTGGAGAAGTTGGCGCAACTGGAGAAGGAAGAATCCAGCAAGATCACCAGCGACGACATACACACCGGTTTCGATAGCTCCTTTATAACCAAGGACAAGCCCAAGAAAGATGATAAGGGAAAGGCACCGGCCAAGAAGACTGAGACGGTTGAGCTGCTCAATCCCAATTTCAACAAGAAGGACGAAGGTGCGGAGGCCGATGCAGAGGATGGAGATGAGGAGGATATCAAGCCGAGCGAGTTGGCGAAAGAATTCGCCAAGATCAAGTTGGGAGACTACCGGGCGTGTCTCCAGTTCATCTCTGAGCACCCGGAGATTGTCGCGGAGCGAGAGACGGATGGTCTCCTGGTTGAAGCATTCAACAGTCAGATGGAAGGCAAATCAGAATATGCCCGTCAGTGTGTGCACCAGGGTCTGCTATTGCAGTACTGCCGGTCCCTGGGTCGGGATGGAATTAACCTCTTCTTCAAACGGTACGTACTCCAAGTTCACCTTTCTGTAGCTATACATCGAGGTAGACATTAGGCTAACTTGCATCACAGGATCACGACAAAGGACCACCAGGCCGCGACTCTTTTCAGGAACGACGTCAACGAGACGTATAACAAGATCAAGACTCGCGCCGCAGAACTGTCCAAGAACAACTCGCCGGGCAACGACCCTGCCGGCGTGGAGCAGATCCAGCTGCATGCCGTGGACCCCAACACCAAGATCAACATCACGATTCCTCCCGCAGAGAGCACAAACCCGGAGGAGATTGAAGCGCGCAAGATCTTCGATTCATTCCCTGCGAACCTGCGGAAGGCCCTTGAGTCGCAATCCCTCGACGAAGTGAACAAGGTTCTCGGCAAGATGCCCGTCAAAGAAGCCGAAGAGGTCGTCGAGAAGCTGAGCCAAGGCGGCATGCTCAGTCTCGAAGAAGGCATCGTGGACGCCACCACGGAAGAGGGCAAGAAGAAGCTCGAGGAGATTGAGGCGGAAGGGAAGAAGGCAAAGGAGGAAGAAGTAGTTGAAGAGATTGGCGAACCAGCTGATTGAAAAAGTTGAAAATTCTTGATTATTTTTTGTTTTCTTCTTTCACTTTTTCACCCCTATGACAACGCATGAAAATGCATGTCACCTTCATTCAGATGTAGGATAGGAGTTCCTAATCCCGTCAACCCTCGCATCATCACCTGCCACCTTCCTCACTTCACCTCTGACATTCCATACTCATAAATTAAAAAAACCTTACTACTGATCTTTTGATCTCAACTCTCCTCTCTCCGCGTCCTCAAATTTAGTTCACTTTTGATCTCTTTGTGACATTTTCCCAGTAAAGTATCTTCTATACGTATTCTATAATTCAGAAAAAAGAAAAACTAGTAACAAAAAAGAGAGTATGAAATGAATTCCCTGCATTACCTGCCTACTTATGAACCAGATAAAAAGAAAAAAAACACCGTGAAAGGGAAGTTTGCAAGACAGACCAGACAAATGAGAAACGAGGGGGAAAAAAATCACTATAACACAATGTGAGGTAATCGTGAGGATAAGGAGATAAAAAGGGCCCCAAGTCCAAGGCTCTAAAACCCCCAATCCACCACCTTGACGAGCTTCATGAACTGAGAACGTATCACCTCTAATGAAATGTGACAGTAAAGGTTGGAGCACTAAGAAATTTCCCAGCATAGGTAAAAGGGTCGTTAATTGAGGTTGATCCACCAAGGGCCATCCAGCAAATCCCTTTTTCCATAACATACTCATTTCTGCAACAATATGTATTGCCAGGTCGAATTTCATGGTTCCAACGACCACTGGTCAAATCTGGTTCACTATTCGTTCGCTTCGACTCGTTATTTTCGACGCTCCGGTTCAAAAACTCAGACACCGCTAGCACCCGGTGCATTTGGATCCTTTTTGAGATCAAGCAGCAATTCGCGGAAGCGCTCCTTGCCCGAGCCGCTAGCACCTCCCTTTACGCCTTTCCCGGAAACATCCACCAGCTTGGCAATACGCTCCCAGGCAGTGCCGCCGACGGCAGTGTCTTCACGGTTAGCAAGGAATTGTTCGGCCTCGGCGCGGGTCTGCGCGCGACCCTTGTCTGCCCGGTTGCCGTAGGAAACGTAGAAATCGTCGATGTCCTCCCGAGCCTTCTTTATCGTGGCAGCTCTCTTAGCAGCGGAGGCCTCGGCACGACGGGCAATGTCTGCATCCCTTCTCGCCCGCCATTCCCTGTAACCCAAGAGACCAGATGTCAGTTTGTAACATTTCCGAAATGGAGAATCATTATCCGGCTTCATTTCAAAAGCAATAGGCAAGAACGTCCTCCACTTACCGGATTGGCTCTGGCTCTTCCTCCTCAGGTTCTGCGTAGTTCGTGTAGCCTGTAGAAGTAAAAGGGGCACCCGTTCCGGTGATAGTTCCTCCTGGCGCAACTTGCTGTTCGAAAGGGGCCCTAATTAGCATGCTGCCTAGATCTTGAAAAAAGTTATGGCAATGAAATGCGTGTCTAGCTGCATACCTCATTTTGAGTGTCGATTGCCGGAAAAGATGATTCGAAGCCAGAGATCTCTTCAGAGGCAGCAGTTGTTTGCACATTGTCTCCACCTCCCAGCAGGTCGTCATTGGTATCCTCTACCGCGGCAGACGTGGCAGCATGATCGTTGGGGGTAGCAAACTGGTCCGCGTCATCTCCGAGAAGTGCACGCTCACGAGCTAGGAAGTCCTCTCCATCCGCAGCGCCGTTGGTCTCGACAACTTCGGTCTGACCTGGAAAGCCTGTTAGAACTTAGGAGACATGTTAGCTGCGGTCGGGGAACCAACCAGCGTTGAATTCTTCTAGGGAAGGGAATCGATCGGCCATTTTAAAGGCAATTTATCCGTGTGCAATGAACGGAAGAATCAGAGATAGATAAGAGTACGGGAAAAGGTAGAATGAAATTCAAGGAAGCAGAGAGATGAGGGCGTTTGGTTGGTCTTCTGGCCAGCAAGACGCTGATGGGCGGCGGACAGTTAACAGATTCTGCCGCCTCGGGCGGTGAGCAGCAGTCGCGGAGCTTGGTCTGGTGATGCTGTTGCAAGGTGAAGCTTCAATCAACAATAATAACAACAGTGCGCGTGGCCAATAGCAGGAACTTGTTACAGGCACAGGAAGTCCGCTGGTCGCTGGTTAAGATATTGGCTGCTTTTACTTTTTCCTTCACTGTGTCTTGCAGAGCGTGGTTGCTGTACCTGTCGTCACTCCGGATTCGGCTTGGATACTTTCTTGCGCACTCCCACGTAATCCGCGCTGAGACTTATCGTGGATGAGTCTCCTTCGATCAATCTTTCTCCCGTTTTATCTCTATTGGTAAATTGCGTTTAAATACTACTTTTGGCTTCGATGAACCATGGCGTACACCGATGATGCCGTCAAGGCAAAGCTATCGGCTCTCAACGAGACTCAGGAAGGAATCGTAACCGTCGCGCAATGGGTTATGTTTCATAGGTAAAAATTATCAAGCTACCTTCTACCCACGATGGACCAATGCTGACCCTGATAATTGTAATTACAGACGCCATGCGGAGCGAACTGCGCAGCTTTGGCTGCAGAAATTACGAGAGTCGCCAGCGAACAAAAGGCTCAATCTGATATACCTGGCAAATGGTATGTCCTCGTTCGGATAAAGAAGGTTCACAGGCTGATTGGGTACGCAGAGGTTGCGCAGCAGTCTAAAGCGAGGCGCAAGGAAGACTTTTTGAATGCATTCTCTCCGGTATGGATGGAAGCTTTAATGAAATGGATTGAGCTTGGCTGACTCTGGAACAGATTATCGCCGAAGCCATGGCCATCGCTTATAAAGGAGCCTCAAATGAGATCCAGCAAAAACTTCGACGTGTGGTGGAGGTTTGGAGACAGCGTTCCATCTTTGAACAGCCCATTCAGGAAGCTGTCGAAGCTCGGGTCGAGGGTAGGTACCGAGCTTAGTTTGCTTCGCAACATGGTCGCTAAGAGGTAAATAGAATTGGACAGATCCCGTTCTTCGGGTAAAAAGCCACTGCTCGGAGGTTCCCTCTTCTCTAGCTCTTCTGGATCTGTACCGCCAGAGCTTCAACCTCTCGTACCGCTTCAGGTCGCTCTTTCTAAGGCCGCAGTATCTTCCAGCGCCTCAGTTAGCGCTGCGAATGCAGAATACGAGAAGATGAATGATCCTAACACACCTGTTCCGATGCCGCCGGTCCATGCTGCACGCCTGAGTCAGCTCTTGAAATCACTAGCAAATGCCGAAAGTTCGGTGTCTGAGATCATCAAATCGCGTCAAGCTCTCATTGACGGTCTGGAGAAACTGCTCGATACCAATCGTTCGGCACTTGAAAAAGAAAAATCTCTAGTTTCTCAGCTTTCCGAGAGGAAAGCCGAGACGGAGACGAAAAAACGTGACGTTGAGGACGCAATCATGCGAGGCCTTTCTGCAGAGAATGCACCCGGAACTCACAATGGAGAATCAGGAGTCCAAGACGCACCCCGTCCGGAGATTGAGGGTCTGACGCCGCCCCCGGTGGAATCGCTGACCCCCGTTGGGTCTCCAGTCCAGTCATCAGCACCCGCGGATGGAGCCCAGGAACCATCAAGGCAGTCGTTTTCGTTGCCGCCGGCACAACAGGCTGGTGGAGTTGTTCCTGGCACAGATCCTTCTAGCTTCACTTTGCCTCACAATCCACCGCATGACGACAGTTCCGCCAACGGTGTTAGTTCGAAGAAACGCAAGGTCGCCCATAGCGAGGAGGACTACGCGCAGTTTGCGGGCGGCGACTTAGATGCGGACGTGGCAGAACTGTTGAAGCAGGAAAGCCAACCGTAGGATGCTTTCCCCCAATCAATGAATGTTCATGGTCTTCCACCCATCTACCTAAGATACCTGCTTGCTACCTTCTTTGACGTATGCATCAAGCCGTGTTACGTTGTTTGATGTTGTATCACTATCATTGTTTTTTGACTTCAAGCTGGTTGGGATTTCGTGGTTACTTCATTCAAAAATGTATGGTAATGTTAGCAGGCTTCGGATGTTTTTGCTCCTACCTAACCTACCTAGGTAACTTAGGACTGATCGTCATGTCAATATCAACGTCAATGTCAATGATTACTGGTTTTATCCTCTCTCTCTCTCTTCACCCTTTTCTAGTCTTCCCCTTGGTGAAGTTGACTCCTGAACGCTATGTGAAATGGAATCACCACCGATACGGGTAAGAGCAAACTAAGGTGTATTATATCTATAGGAAGAGTCTGACGGAGTGGATCATCATCTCCTCATCGTATGTACATACATACTCCGTACATACAGCCCAGAACATTACTGATAATTTAAGTAAAAAATGAAAATTGCGTGGAAACCAAGTTAATTCTTCTTCATTCATGAATAATGTCCCGAAGAAATGAAACCACGATGTCTTAAAAAAAAAAAGAAAAAGAAGAAGAAGAAGAAGAAGAAAAGAAAACCGAGGCGGAAAAAGAAACCTCCATTAGACACTAGATACTGTACACAGTTACGTTCGTTCGTGCGAGCCATCCAAGCAGCTCGCTTTCTCAGCTCTCAGCCAACCAAGTCATATATATCAGGATCGTTCCAGACATCCCGTGAGAACCGGTTTATTACTGAGGAGGACGGTTTCCGCTTCCAGTGATGACGATGGACGAATTTCTCAGAGTTTGACCCAACATCAACGATAGACCTTCTCGCAATTGGTGGTGACTGTTGCCCGGCTTGAGGCGGAGGTGGAGGTGGAGGCTCAGGCGGTGGAGTCGACGCGGAGGAGCTGTGGCGTTTGGGTTTGATGAGGAGGATAATGAACAGCCCAACTACTAGCAGAAAGAGCAGGAGCAAGATCTTGCGCTTTGTTGTCCGTCGTTGGTAGTTCGTCGCCTGTATCAAAAACAGTTCAGCAGATGTATCAAGCACAAAATCGCGGTTGCGCATCTGGTACACACCACTTTGAGTTCCTTATCCGCAGCTTTCACCTCGGTTGCCATCCTCTCGACATTGTAATCTATCCTGTCCAGCATCGTACCCTGGTCGATGATCATCGTCTGCAACTCGCGGAATATATCTGATAACTCAATAATGCCCTTTGCGATATCGTTGATCTCCCGCTCTCTCTGCAGGATCGCCGCATCGTTGGCACCAACCATTTTCTGCGAGGTCTGTTGGAGGGTGGTCTGCGAGAACGATTTATCGGCGTCCGACTCCATGAGCGACGGATCTGAGTAGGGGTTCAGCACTGGTGTTGTGGACCGGTCGAACGGCGAGGCCATTCCTTCCAGCTCCCGTAGCTCTATATAGTTGTTAATTAATTGTCCCTTTCTCGGAATATGTCGAGAAAAAAAAAGGTGATCTCTCTTACTTTTCAAGTAGGTGCTTTGCTTCTTTCGAAACCGCGCGCTCGCCTCTTGAACTCTCGAGGCAAGAGAGATCTGAATGTTCTTCGCCATAGTCTCTTCACCTTTGCTCACCCCTCCCTGCTGCTTTGCTTCCCGCACCATCATCTCGATTTTCTGGATGGAGTCCTGGCAAGAGTGAAATCCACGGGTGATCTCGTGTGTCAGCTGATCAATGAGGCTCTCCTCCTCCTTTCGGGCCGCCTCATCTCCAAACCCTGGCAGGAGATGCTTCTGGTGAAGTTTGTCTAGCCGAGCCGACTTCTGCGCAATGTCCGCTAGCGTCTCCGTGACCTCTTCCTGCACGTCTACCCAGCGGGGAGGCAGCATGTCCATTTCGATGACGGCGTCGCCATCATCTTCCAGACCCTCAGCTCCCGCGATCAACCCACGTCTCTCCTCAGACAACGACGGTGAATCGGAGAAGCCATGAGAAGGTCCGAAGTGACGTGGCTTCTTCGTCGGATGGTGAGCGAACGATTGGCGATAAGAGATGTAGCTGCAATGACACTGTCAGTCCTGGGCCAAGCGACATGACACACACAGTGGAGAGCTATACAGATTTGTCCGATCCCGCCACATCCTGGTGGCAGAGCACTCTGAGCTGTGGCTAACGTTCCTTGTCCGTAATCACCTTATCATCCTTGTGAGGTGTTACTGGGATTCCGCACTGGTCGCTGGATCGCTGTCTATTCGCTGCGACGGTCTAACTTGTAGACAGAAAGAATAATACCGGAGGGAGGGGAATAATCAGAATCAGGATTATCTCAACGCAGACTCAGAGGCAGGGAATAAACAACCAGCATAATATGATTCTCGTCCGCGTGCCGAGTCTCAGCCTCCCAGTTCTCCAACGTCGCCGCGGAGGCATGTCATTCCGATTCTGGCTTAGCGGCGGCAGCTCTCCGGGTCCTGTCCATCCACGGATCTGCCAGGGCCAGGCACGTACTATATTTAATATTGTTGACATGCTGTTATTAATGAATTATGGATCTTATTATGAATATGAATCGGTGGAGGTAAGATAGAGTAGTGGTGATGTTCCATCCATGTCGTTCTATAATGGCCTCGCTTCTACTGGCGTATTGCCGTATATCGGTACTCATGCTGGCATCATCATCGCAGCTGCTCTGATGCTCTCCTTGCGAAAGTACATGGGTGAAGAGGGGAAAAAAGAGGCTTTATCAATCCATTGTCAAGTTTATTTCTAGTCATCATAGCCATAAGTTCGGGGCTATTGATCGTCTATTGGCGGCCCACAGGTCTGAAATCAATAGCCCTGGAGGATAGATGAGCTCTGCTTTCTTACAACTCTTTTCTTGTACTCTATTTAAGCTCAACATTATCCAATACGGAGACTGTGGTATTGATGGAAATCTTGAGGCGATGCTAGTATATGCACGTAGTCGTACTCTACTGTATGGCATCCAGAGTCCAGATCGCGCCAAGACTCCAGCCTGAGGATGCAAGGCTTGATTTCCCAGTCTTCACGGAGCCAGTGGCAACACCGTCGAGGTCGACAGATCTGCAGCGGCCAGACAGGGCGGGGCTGCAGGAGGCGAGAGGCTGACTTTCAGGCTGAGCGCTGAGCGGCGGTCGGCGCTGGTCACGTTTTTTGCACACAACGGTTTAGGCTTCAGCTCTCCGTCCCCAAGTCCGTCTCCAGTCCCATTCCCCCTAAAGCCAAAACCCTCGTTTCCTCCACTCGCATCCTATCATCCCCGACTGCTGTCTTCCATTCCGCACCCTTATTCATTCGTGATTTACCTCGTCTTTCTTTCCACACGTCGACATCATGGTACGCATTGCATTCCATTCTCCTCAAGTCCCTGTGCCGCTGCTTCTCCCCGCTCTTGCGGGGCTGCCCAAGACCCTCGATTTACGAATGCACTGCTAACGTCGCAACCACTTCCTCCAGGCCGACTCTTTGACTGAGGAACAGGTTTCCGAGTACAAGGAAGCGTTCTCGCTCTTTGTAAGTCCTCTGCCTCTGGTCGCGGTTGTGTTTGCGACTTCATTGAGTGTACACGAGCTTACTGTATTGTTGTTGCCTTCTCACAGGACAAGGATGGCGATGGTTAGTTGCTCGCTCCAGACCTTACGACAGCGCTTTGCGTCCATCTAGCTATACCCGGATAACAATACTGATGGTTTGGATCAGGCCAAATTACGACCAAGGAACTGGGCACCGTCATGCGGTCCCTCGGTCAGAACCCGTCCGAGTCCGAGTTGCAGGACATGATCAACGAGGTGGATGCCGATAACAACGGCACCATCGACTTTCCCGGTATGGAGACTGCCAGCAATGATATCGTCCGTGATTCGTGTTCGAGGATGCCAAACGCTGACTATCGTAGAATTCCTGACCATGATGGCTCGCAAGATGAAGGACACCGACTCCGAGGAGGAGATCCGCGAGGCTTTCAAGGTGTTCGATCGCGACAACAACGGCTTCATCTCCGCGGCGGAGTTGCGCCATGTCATGACCTCCATCGGCGAGAAGCTGACCGACGATGAAGTTGATGAAATGATCCGTGAAGCCGACCAGGATGGCGATGGCAGAATTGACTGTGAGTTCATGCACAGAAGGACTCCCTACAACGGTCGAAAGACTAACGGAGCTCGCTCAGACAATGAGTTTGTCCAGCTCATGATGCAGAAATAAGCTGGCCGCTTTTCTTTCCACCCTGCGTGCGGAGGGCAGCGGCTAGAGCTCGATTTGCGATTATCCCTTTGACTATCGAACGTTTCTTGCGGGTTGTTTCTCTTACTAGGGCTGTGATTTTGATGAGCGTCACGATCATTCAGGACTGATTTTTAGGCCGCTGGTCGTCTCTTTGGATCTGTCCTTGGTCTTGAGGCGAGGAAGCAGAGTGAAACCGCGGTAGTCGGCACAGAGCAGATGGGAATATTTGGATGCGATAGCTTACGAAAGACTTGATCCGTGGATTTTTGCTTGCTTTGCTTTCTTTGCTGAAGGACCCATTCGATCTCTATCCCGTTTCCAAGTGTTTACCTGGTCTAAGACTGTCCTCAATTCCACCCAGCCCCCCTACCTCAACCCCTCTGCTCACCCTACCTTTCCCTATCCCCACCCCATCTTATGTATGTTGCCCGTAGCAGATTCCGTTGCTATGACTGTTATTGGCGAACAAGTAAGTATGAACTACTTATTTTGGAATTGCAAATTTTTATCTATTGATTTTCGAAGAGTCATTCCTGGCTATATCTGGTTATCGGTTGAAGCGGAAAATCTCCATATACTGTCTGGCTAGATCGACGCCGGCATCTGGGTCGTCGTCCTGTTCATTCCAGCCCCATCCCCAACTCCTTCCTAATGCGGCGGCTTCATTCTTCTTCTGCCGTCGCTTGGCCTCTAGCTCGCGCCATCCGCTCTGCCGCCGTTGGTGCAGTTTCGCTTTGAGTTCCCTCCCCACGTCCGGGACCAGAATCGCCTCTTGGACGCCCTTGTCCGTAACTCCGAATCGGGACCAGAATTCGCGAATGAGCTCTGCGGTCTGGGCGTATTCCGCATCGATGTCAGAGTCTTCAGGGATGAAGGAGAGATCGACAGCGGAGTCGGCATAATCGCCACTCCCGTCTCCGTCCGTGGGGAGGGGTGATAGGAGGGGTGACGATGCTATCGACGGTCCCCTCCATTCGATCTCTACGACGGTGCCTCGTGCCCGTGCCATCGGCTGCGTCTGTCGCACCTCGCCGATGCGGACTCGGAAGTCGCCCACGTCGTAGGTTGTCCCACCAGCTGTGACGGTATGCCGGTGGCACCACAGGGGCTCACAGGCGCGCACGAAATGCTGGAAGAGAGTGCTGCAGGAAGGAAGAGGGATCGTGCTCATGATCATGCCGGATTGCGTGGATGGTTTCCGCGGAGGCTGCTGGGCCAGCCCCGGAGCATTCGTGTCAGGCTGATCCGTGGACTCGGACGCGTAGATGAACCCATGGTTAGGATAGTGAGAGAGGGAGAGGAATTGCATATAACGTGGCTGAGGCGGCGGGTTTGGTGCATGGGCAGATGCAGGAAGACATGAAGATGTATCCCGCATCAACTTGTGTTCGAGAGCCCAGCGGCCCACGGGCACTGCTTCGTCACCGTAAGACGAGCGAAGGCGCTCTGACAATGTTGCCAACGCATTAGGAGCGTTGGGAGTGGATGGGATGAAGAAGACCCTAAAGACAGTTAGTCTTGATATCACTTCGACAAGGCGTGTCTTACCCTGTAATCGGCATTTCTGCGAGTACATGTATGTATATATACCTCCCTCTCCCGCAAAAAAAGAAAAAGGTATTGCAGACTAGGAATTCACGCTGTTATAGCAACGGAAAGATATAGAAATCCAACAGGAGGATAGTCCACAGAGCCAACACCTTTGAACAATCAGCTGCAGTGACAGATATAGTCCCAGACACACAATAAAATTATAGAATACAGTAGCAAGAAGGTATAAGTGGCAATACAGTGATCCTCAGTAATCTATAAGGGTCGTCTCATCACATAAATAAAATCGAAAATTCTGTCAAAAAAAGCCAGGCTGTTGCCAGGCACAAGACAACACAACCAACTCTATCAATATTTCCTGAAACAGATATATTAGATATAATGAAATAACTATATAGACTAGAAGTTCCACGCTTGGTTAGGCTGTGTTGGTCATGAAGATGCAATAGTCGGAGCTTCCAACAGACAAGCAGCTAAGATGCGACGTTGGCAGCGGCCGCCTGCCAAGAATCCAGACCCATGGCTCGAACAGCAGAGCAACGGAGAGAACTTTGCAGCGACCCAACCGCCCCCATCCTGACCGTCTAAGTCAACACCTAATCCAAAAATATCCCATCTCCGTTGGTCCCGGCCTCGCGATGACAGGGGGAGGGAGTCTTGGGAGGGACGAGCATTGCCCGAAGGAGCAGTCCCGCGGCGGAGTCGCTGCTCTGCTGCCAGCTCTGCTTGGCCGTCAACCGCCATAGTCCCGCCCCGAAGAGGAACCAACACGCCCTGCTCTCCCTCGAGTCCCTCCGCACGGGCGCTTAACATGGGGTAGATGGCAATGTGCCAGTGCCATTCGGCAACAGGCTGTGGGTATGCCAGCCCACACTCATTGGGCACTGCGCCTGCATGAGAATGTCTTGGCCGATCGTATCGCTAGCAAGGGAGCGACTTGACAGTGTCCGCGAGTCCGCGACACACCTGGTTTCTGCAATCGTACAGGAATACCGTATCCAAGGATAGCTCGTGCCTCTCTCTCAGCTATCTGACTGTGAAATCCTTTTTTCAAGTCGTTCTCGTTTATCCTAGCGACTGTCTACAAGCACAGTTCTTTCTTGGCCCGTCGCTCCTTTCCCTGTGGTAAGGTGTCAACTGTCTTTGTCACGACCTCCATTTTTTGTACAGTACATACAAACAGAGCGCCCGTTGCGTTCTGCCTCAACCCTTTCAAGCAACTCGACCGGCATGCCGCATTGAATCCGTCGTGCCTGTTTTTCGTTGTTTCTTCCCTATTCCAACGCTCTCTAAGATACCTGCAGTCAATTGTCGCCGGTGTCACATGAGGAGAGGGAACCCGTCGCGCTCGATTGTCCTCCAGCCAACATGAGATTTGTGCGCAAGAGCTTGGTCATCCCAACATGCGTGCTAACAATCCTAATCTATCTCTTCCTGAATAACCCCCCATCCATCTCAGATCGGCGCAACATTCCCACCCAGACCACCGTTTCCATTGAGAAGCCACCACCGAACGACAACCGTGTCCACTGGCAGAGGCCGCCTGAAAAGCACCCAGTAACCTCCTTTATCCCCCTCCCAACAGGCAAGCCTGCCAAAATCCCCCGGATTCAGTATGACTTCCCTCGCGAGCGCTCCTCCGATCGAAAGAGGCGACAGGAGAGACAGGCGGCGGTGAAGGAGGCATTCATACACGCGTGGGGTGGCTACAAGGAACACGCATGGCTGAAGGATGAGGTAGCCCCCATTAGTGGCGGCTATGTCAACACCTTCGCCGGGTGGGCAGCCACGTTGGTAGACGCGCTCGACACGTTGCTCATCATGGGACTGAAAGATGAATTCGAAAAGGCCGTGGCCGCGCTCGATCAGATCGACTTTACGACCACCGACGACAAGGACATCAATGTCTTCGAGACGACGATTCGGTATCTGGGAGGCCTCTTGGCTGCTCACGATCTCTCCGATGGGAAATACCCGGTGTTGCTGAAGAAAGCCGTCGAGGTGGCGGAACTGCTCTATGGCGCATTCGACACCCCGAACAGGATGCAAATGTCTCGGTGGGAATGGAAAAAGTGAGGCGATCTCCGGCTTGGTCTCAGATCTGTCCTGTCACGAAGAACTGCATTTGCGCTAATGCTGTTGATTGTCAGATCGGCTCAAGGACTTCCCATTCGACCGGCTCGCAATACGCTTCTGGCGGAACTCGGGTCTCTGAGCTTAGAGTTCACGCGGTTAACCCAACTGACCGGCGACCCAAAGTACTTTGACGCCATCCAGCGGATCACGGATAACCTGGAACGCGCGCAGCCTAAGACCCAGATACCCGGGTTGTGGCCCATGGTGGTTGATGCGGAGAATCTGATCTTTGATGACAACCGCTTCACGGTGGGTGCCATGGCCGATTCCACTTACGAGTACCTTCCCAAGGAACATTTACTTCTCGGTGGCCGGACGAATCAGTACCAGCGGATGTACGAAGCAGCGATCGAGCCGATCAAGAAGTACCTTTTCTACCGCCCTTTAACAAAAAATGGTGAGGACATCCTCATCAGCGGCAACGTCCATGCATTTGGATCGGGAACGCCCTCGCTGGAGCCACAAGCCCAGCATCTCACCTGCTTTGTCGGCGGCATGGTCGGAATCGCAGCTAAGATCTTCGAGCGGCCAGAGGAGCTGCCCATCGCCCGGAAGCTAGTAGACGGCTGCATTTGGGCGTACGACTCGATGCCAACCGGTGTGATGCCGGAGGTCTTCTATACGGCTGTTTGCGAGGACAAGGACAACTGTACGTGGGATGAGAAGAAGTGGCTGGCGGACGTGCGCGCTTCCGCTGTCCATCGTGGTAGGGTCGATTCCGACAAGGATGAGGATGAGTATGCGCGGGAACTGGTGAAGCAGGCCGGATTGCAGCCAGGAATGACGGAAATCAACGACGCTCGATACATGCTCAGGTGAGTCGTTTCTCCGTCACGTCGCGTGCGTCGCATTGCTGATGCGGAGACAAAACAGACCGGAAGCGATCGAGTCGGTGTTTATCATGTATCGAATCACGGGCGACAAGGCGCTGCAGGACGCCGCCTGGCGCATGTTCCAAAGCATCGAAAAGCTCGCGAGGACCAATATTGCGCATGCCGGCATTGAGGATGTGCGCACGCTCAACACTGAGAAATTCGACAAGATGGAGAGTTTCTGGCTTGCAGAGACGCTCAAGTACTTCTATCTTATTTTCTCTGAACCCAGCCTGATCAGTCTGGATGAATATGTATTGTAAGTGAGACCCTATCTTCTTATTTAGGTACCTCGTCGGTGGGGCGGTTTGGGGATGCCGCGTAGTGTCCACGCGGCCTCGACTATTTTTTCCCTTCTACAGACGCTAACGCGACTCTACTTACAGTAATACTGAAGCGCACCCCCTGAAGCGCCCTACGGCTTAGAAGTCAGCGTATAGACATTGCAGTCTGCTTGCCTGCAGGACGGGTGCGGACTGCTCAGTGTATCTCGATACATGTACTACTTATCACGGGCGGTTACGGAGTTGCGAAAGCGCCTTTCGCCGGCTGTAGACGTCCCGAAAAAACATTTTTTATTGGCGTGTCATCCCGAGCTTGATTGGGATTAAAAATTTGGTGCCTTTTTCCTTGTCTTGATTTGTCACAAAATAATACCAGATAGATTAGGTAGATATATAGGCCAGGACAGGCCAAGCCAGGAGTAATGAATGGAACTATCTACTGTCATATAAATGCCTCCTGGTAGCAAATCATCGATGTTAGTGGGAATATGTTTAGAAATTTTCTACCTAGGTGTGTACTGTTCGACAAACAGTCCTTCTGGCCTAGGAGGCTTGAGTACGTAGGTTAGGTACCTACTACCTAAGGATAATTCAATAAACAAGCAGATCACCCCAATGACTCGGGATTAGATAGATAGATACCTACGCAGGTAGTACGGAGTAGTGACTTGACAGCGTAGACGGCCTATTCTTTCCGACCTATGTACTGTGCCTACAGGTAGGTAGGTAGTAGTGCTTTAGATAGGTTGCAGGACAGGACTGGTATCTAGCTTGATAGACTGGATTCATATCAGTTATTCGTTCCTTCAGACAACACATCTTCTCTCCCTCCGATGTCTTGACCTCGACTCACTGACTGGCTGTTCCACCTGAAAATATTCTCGTTCAATCAACCAACAAAGATGATGTCGATCTATGAAGCAGGAACAGCAAGCAGTATGCAATATGTATGCTGGGATCAGGAGGGTATTGTCTATATTCATATTCGCTTTCTTCTTCTATTTTTTATCTCTTTGCCTGGTTTAGGACAGCTTTTGATTAGATATGGGTATATATATAATTCCTTTCCTGCGTCCCCCCTTTCCATCCTCCCATCCTCCCATCTTCCCCTTTGTGAATCTTGATTATTTTGATTTCATTACCAAAGCTGGATTTTTTTTTGCATTCGTCTCTGGAAGGACAAGGACACAAATATCTCAACAATCGTCGTTGTGGATGAACGGAGATCTCCTGATGGTCTGTCTGTCTGGGCTGCCCTGAATCCTTGCCTAGGTAGGTAATAGTATGGCTAGCTAGAAAGCGACATGCCTACCTAACCTAATGGTTCAAAAGTATCTTAATTAATTATATCTATTTTATTAATTTCGAGGGACCAAAATCACGTTCTCGACAATTACGAACTTCTTTCTCTCTTTGATCAACTGAGCGGTCTTGTTACTTGCAATCAAATAAAAAAAGTACTCAGCTTCTAGAAGTAAAGAAATTCGCCCTTGAAGCTAAGATTCAATCTCATGATTCTAGAAGATCTTTTATAACCATCACTTTTTTTTAGCAGTCTTGCGAAGTCAGAAATGCTAGTTTGGAACTCAAAAAAAAAAAAGAGCGTATCACTCCGGAGTATTTGTCTGTTGACAAATTGCGGACAGAGGCACATGACTGCTAATACGATGATTTATCGTTCTTTGTTTCCAGTAATTCTATTCTCACATTCCTCACTACGGAGCAATCCATTATCCCGCTGAACATGCCACGGAAGTCGATGATGGCGCAATTGCTATTACTCCGTATGCACGGTGTGTCAGTTCGAGCATGTGAGCAACAAAGGACAGTGCCAAGTCAAATGTCAGCAACCTAGTTTGATCAGATAACAGAACCCGGCCGTCCGTCCGTACGACGGTACCGGGTAAGTAAGCGGTAAGCGGTAACGGGTGCGTCCGTATCGTTACAGTAAGCAGGCGGTAGTGGGGAACTGGTGCTTTCACTAGCCGACATCGGCGTGCCCCACCACTCGATGATTGTCGGTATCTGATTCTCAGCGAAGTGACCACGTAGAGTCAGGATGTATGTGGATCGAAATATGAGTGCCTGTACAGATTAAATAAGCTTGATGGAATGCCTCTTATTATTCAAAGCTCCGTATCTGGACGAGGTCAATGCAAGATTCATCTTACCGAGGTTCCTACTATCAGATTAAGCGGCGACTCCCGCTGGTTAGACGGGCAGGGATGCTTCTAGGCGGCTCATTGCCTGGAGTACGGAGAACCCCCTTATCTGATCCATCCCTACGACGTGATTCGCGCTGGCTCTCCGATCGTCGCGCTTGGCGTTTCTCGCTAGGCAATCAGCTGGTGGCACAGATCCTCGACGGGGCTGGCCTAGCCCGAGGATCTGGTCCCCGTCCACAGCCTAGTTGTTCCTCGGAGTCGATGACTGACCTGGTCGCTGGAGTCCCCGCAAAACTAATTATTCCATGGCGTTCTAGGGTCGCTCTATGGGCTTCGTTGGGGCTCGCCGCTCGATGATATTCTGGTCTTTGAGGGCGTGTTGGGGACACACCTCGACAGGCAGTGCCCGGATGGGTCGACGACTCGACAGGCGGTCCCGATTGGCATTGATCAACTGATTGATTAGATTACGAAAGTTGAGTTGCGTGGTCGCGGCTGGGCTCGTTCCGGTCGCGGCAGCGTACAGCGCTTTTGCACCACCCGTACTGAAACTTTGTTCAACGCGGGCGCAATATGACAGCACGAACCCTGGCAATGCAACCGGGGTGTGTTGTCCATCCTCTAAAGGTTAGCTACAGCATCCCGGACGAACTACTGTAGGAATTCGATCTATCCGGCCCTTGGGGTTGTGCTCATCAGGTTGGTGTAATTACGTGCGTTGGCACTTTAGCCGTCCTGCCGTGAGTGGTGCAACGTGGAGGAGGCGAACCATTTATTCCCCCGTCAAGGGAAAAAGAATCCCACACGCTCATGCCCGACATTCTTACCCAAAGTTAACCACCCTGCAGGTCGATCAGATAAGTCTGACCGCTGCAGTGCCCCAGACTCGTACTCCGTACGGAGAACTCCGTACTATAAAGCCGTTTCGGGTGGAATGATGCGCTGTACCAGTAATTTACCTGTATGGAGAGACGTAATGACTCATCACGCCACGGGTCCAGCGTACGGCTATCGGGATCTCCCGCGGCAAACCACGTCTGTTCGCGGTGCTCTGCGACACCTCTACAAAGCGAGAAATAGGGGAAGAAAATGAATTCTCGACAGAGATTTTCCTCCTGTTTGCCAGGGTTGGGATGGTTGAGGTCGATCGTGCTGCTCTGTGCTGACTCAGTCCTGTGGTGGGTTCGGTCAGCCGTGGTATCCGGGTAATACCGATACCGATCAACCCCTGCCCGCTAGTGGAATTCGATGCTCGGCATCCGGTCTTCCTCCCATCGCGCTGGTTCCCCTCCCGCTTTTATTCCTCTTCCTGCTCGGCTCCTCGTCGTCCGCCGTGGTCCTACGTGGATGCCAAGGGGCAGTTGGAATCGTTCATATCCCCCCTATTTCAATCTCGCATCCCTTCTCGCCAGTCCTGGCTTGCTGACCTTGATGATTGACCGTGTCGTTCCTACACTCCGTCACCCTGTTCGCCTCAACCTCTCGCCCTCTCTTCACTCGTTTCTTCCTCTCCCACGTCGCTCGTTTTAGGACCCCGGTGTCCCTCGGGGGCCATTCCACCAGGCTGTCACTGAATCCAATGGGTATGTCCCTTTGTCTGCATAATTGCTTCGCCAATGTTGCAGCTTGCTCCCACAAATTTCAATTTTCCTCCGCCCTCTCTCCGCTGTCGGGCGGTGGCGATATCGGACAACCCCCGTCTGCCGCTGTCGCGTATCGGACTCAACGCTGACTCGAGTTCTCAACCAGTTCATGCTGTAGCAGATATGTTGCCGCCTTCCAGGGCGATGGCTTCGACAGTGACACCTCCCGATCACAGTGGCCGTCAGAATATACCCGTCTCCGCCACGTCACATCCCGACAACCCGATCCCCGAGGAACCTCGGGTCATTGCACCCCAGGAAAAATCAGCACAAGAACCAAATGGCAGTGGTGATTCGCAGTCGTCTCTTTCGACCCAGTCGGTAAACGGCTTCTCGGAGAGCGACTCGGAGAGTCCCGAAACCCCAGTTACAGAGCCGCAGTCGGATGATGCTATCGACGAGTTAGAGAGTAAGAGAGAACGACGCGCGTCGACAGTTCTTATATCTGAAAACTCCGATGACGTGCAGAGGATTCTGGGGGATATCAGCAATGGAGGTACTCAGCTGGTCGAGAAGGTCTGCTGTGGAGGGGGCTGCTGCCTTCTTCAACCGTTGCCGGAGACTGGACCCAGTTCGAACGCTCGTCCGATCGAACCGCCAAACAACGAGGCCTACAAGAGTTTGAATTTGAAACTCGGTCCGTTGACTCTTGACAGCGAACTGACCAATATTGTTCCCCTCCCGGAGAAGACTGTGTCCTTCTCGCCCGTTCCAGCTGAGCTCGTAGACACGAAGCTGGGGCCACCGGACCACCCTCCAAAATTCGTTCAGCCTCACGCTCCTTACGAGGTCTTCCGTGCACCATTGCACCACGCTCGGGAGTTGACGAAGCCTGGTGCGGAAAAGCGGACTTACCACTTCGATGTCGATGTGACGGATTATCCTCCCGAAAGCGGAAATGTCGACTTCGTCGTGGGAGGCGCTATCGGAGTTTGCCCCATGAACAATGAGGAGATGGTCGACAGTATTTTTGATCGTCTAGGAATCCCTAAATCTATCAGGGACAAGAAAGTGACTTTGCACACGACTGGCGGACGTTGGCCGACGATCTGGGGCGAGGACAAGCCTCGAGAGTTGATCACCACCCGGCGGGAACTCTTGAAGTGGTGTTCCGACATCCAAAGTTATCCTCCCACCAAGCAACTCTTCCGCCTCATGGCCGAGTATGCCACCGACCCAAGCGAGAAGAAGATCCTCCTGTATCTGTGCTCCGCCCAGGGACAAGGCGCGTTCTGTGACCTCCGCACTGGGGCACATCTCACCCTTGAACAACTTCTATATGCTTTCCCCTCGACGCAGCCGCCTCTCGACCATCTTCTCTCCGTGCTGAATGCTCTGATGCCTCGGTTTTACTCCCTGTCTCAGGATCCCACTATCTCGTATACCGTCCGGGGCGGTGAACGCCGGCGGCTGATTGAATTCGCCGTGACGGTCCATGAGACTAAGGACTGGAAACGGGGAACCAGAACTGGAGTTGGGTCCGGTTTTCTGCAGCGTCTAGCTCACAAGGTTATGGCTGCGGAGAGCCAGGGTATCGATCCACAGACTCTCGACCTGCACGTACCCATGTTCCGTGGCTTGATGGCTAACCCACTTGCGCGTGAGTACGCTTCGGATGGTCCGATGCTCTTGATTGGGGCTGGCGTCGGAATCGCTCCTTTCCGTGGCTTTGTGCAGCGGCGCCTCAGGTCTGCCAACTGTGCCAATAAGGTCTGGGTGATCCAGGGTATCCGCGACTCTCTGTTGGATGAGCTGTACCATGGTGAATGGGGTGTTCACGAAGATAAAGTGAAGAAGGTCGTGCAGAGCCGGCGTGGTGAGAGCAGATACGTACAAGAAGAAGTCCGTCACCAGGCCGACCTGGTCTGGTTTGTGATCAACGCCCTGGACGGTCGTATCTTTGTCTGTGGCAGCAGTAAGGGCATGGGTGAAGGTGTGGAGGCTGCTTTGGTTGATGTGGCCATGGCCAAGGGCAACCTCAACCGTGAAGAAGCAGAAGCCTTCTGGGCGAGAAAGAAGGAAGCTGGACAGTACATTGCTGTAAGTTGACGTGTCTTAAGTCGTGCTTGATGAGGTTTGCTAACTCTGGTTAGGAAACCTGGTGAACACGTTCTGGCTAGGACTGACCTGTATTTGTAGATATTTTCCTGACTGGTCTTGTGGGAGGGGTTCCAGTCACGACCAGCTCGGCATTACCCTGCATTTATTTGGAGTTCACGCTTGCCACGGTTAGGGCTATTCTGTCAGCGTACATGTACTGCAGTGTTTTCCTTTGATTTGTTCGTGTACATATTTGCCAGTCCTTTGGTCTCAATGGCACAAGACTACGGTCTTGTGTATATTTGCTTTGCTAATGTCTTGTCAGGGTGGGTAGGTATCTGTGTTTTGTTCCAGCTACTGCATTTGCTTTTTTTTTCTACCTGCTTGCTAGCAATTTTCGGGTGGCGTCCTGTTTGACTGAAATAGAAATGCATCCGGATTTCCGGCAGATAGGCGCATGTGAGATTAATACAAATACAATTCAATTCGGGTCTTAATAATAATAGATTGATACTGGTAATGGTGACAATGTCCCAGTCTTATTTTTCCTCTACGGAGTACTTGTACTGTACTGCACATACCTAGGTATTGTTTGTGTAACTGCTCTTCATTAAAGTAGGGACTAATATTATACGGAGTACATGTAATTCATATCCTAGATCCATCCCTACCCTGAACCCCTGGATTTCCTTCTTTCTTTTTGCCTTTTGGCTGACTGGGTGTCATGGTATTTGTTTAGCTAGCTCTGCCAATCGCCGACCAAACTGTTTCCGCCACTAGCTTTTCATGACTCGTAAATAAAATAGGAAGAGAAATGTAGTAGAGAAAAAGAATAAGAAGAAGACATAAAAAAGGAAGAGAAAGAAATGAAGAAATGAAAGCCCTCCAGGATCAGACGACCAATGTCCACACATACACATACACGTTCATATACGAAAAAGTAAAGGGAAGGAATGTGAGGCCAAGGAATGAGATTCATCGATTGATGTGATCATCAATCCTGGCATGACAAAGGAAATGTACTCGTCAAAGATCGTCGACTAATCATGTCCATAATCATATCGACGAGGAAGCCCTTCGTTAGATTCTTCGAATTGATGATGATGATTATTGTTCACGACAGTCGCCATCATGTCATTTGTAAGCGGAAGAACAGGAGTAAACCCCCGCGTCGCAACCTGAGATCCAAACCCCGTTAGGAGCTGCTCCAGGGAGGAGCCGTACCCGTCGGAGATGGTGGTGGTGATATTGTTCGTGTTCGTGTCCATAAAGGGCGAGGAGGAAAGCACGGGTACGGACGCATCGTGGCTCGTCTCGGTGGTGCTGTGCATGAAATGTTGTGGCGAGCTCTTGAGCACGGAGTCCAGCGGTGGTGGTGGTGACGATAGTAATGGTGGTGGTGATGGCTGAGATTGAGATACTGCCTCTGTAGGACACGTAGACCGGTGCTTCACCTCGTGGATGACACACGCAAATCGGTACGCGATGTGCTCTTCGTTCGGCGAAATATGCATCAGCTGGATCTGGATCTGGTCGATCAGGGGGTCCGTGAGGTCGAACTCGCACAGCGTCAGGGCCGCATACGCCGCGATGACGAAGATGTGGTCGATAAAGTCGACGGCTGCATGGGGCTGGACTTGCAGAAAGGTCGACATAATGAGTCGTGCGCTCTTGATGACCTCCGCTACCAGCTTCTCTGAGTCCGGCTGCGCTCGCAGCGAAGTCCGATAGAGCAGCAGCTGGCAGAACCAGAAGCCTAGGTTGAGCGGGATTGACTGGTCATCCACTAAAAAGAAAAAATGTCAACCTTTGTTTCTGGATAGAGAGAGCAAATCCAAGACAGCAACTTACTGAGATGTGCCCAATTCTGCTTCCACCGCGCGAGTTCTTCGTACTCGATTTCGCCGTTTTGAATGCGTTGGTGGTTACTCTGCAAGCTGAGAGTAAGCGAATATAGCTGGATCTCCGCCACTACCCTCCCATCCTGGAACGTTGCAGCTGGACTGTCCAGCACCCGTGGGCAGTAGTCGAGATACTTCTGTTTCAGGTTGAACGGGCGAGCATGTCCAATCGCAATGCTGTTCGAGTGAGTCTTGCGAACAAATCAACTGACGGACAGGATACATACTGTAACTGGGCCAGACACAGAGCGTTCCATACGCGCAACTTTTGGAGCATATCGTCCGTCATCGCCGGCTCCACGAGTAGCTGGTCTAGAAAGTCAAAGGAGATGATTGCATGGTTGATAGAGATACCACTTAGCAGCCAGCTGTCCATGGGAATCTCGGTCTGCACAGTCGCAGACCACAGGCACAGCACACTCAAGGCCTGAAGGGATGTGTACTTCAAGGGAGGAGTGCTCCACAAGACGCTGGCTGACAAGCGTCGCACCTGGCGGTACATGGCATGTATCACGGGCAAAGAGATGTCGGATACATAGCGCGAGGCAAGCAGACAGGCGGTGCTGAAGAAGAACGGGTCACTTTGGCGGAGGTTGGGAGGCAGATCGGACGCACTATAGATGGAGATCCAAGGCCCTAAGTGGTCCACAAATCTAGTAGAGATGTATCAGTACAAGCTGTAAACAACGGAATAGGCTCGCGAACAATTGTATCAGTCGGGTGGCCTGGCGGGAATCGATCAGTCCCTGGGTGACGATGTCTCCCAGCTGGTGCGCCTCTGAGGCAAAATCTTCCTTCTCGCCAAAGAACTCTGACTGGAGTTCTGTAATCAGATGCACAGGTTTCGGCGCAGTGGGAGATGGATGGAGATTGTCCTCCGAGATGGGGTCTCGAAGTCCATGTTCGTCACGGGCTTTGACGATCGAGTCGTTGGACTGGATGAACTCTTCATGATCTGGCGCACCATCGTGGTCAATTCCCGCATACTCTGCTCGAGGGAGGTCAATCGCTCCTCGATAGATGACGGAGTGAGACCGGCTGAATCGGTCCAGCCCATAAGACTGTCATGATACGATGCTTCGGGAAGCTCGCAATCAATCCTAATGAATCATGAGACGGTTCTTTCTTACGGGAGGAATTCCAATTCGTACCTGAGGGACAAACATCGACGACAGGCATGATTGCGTGGATCGAGATCGCAACGGGTCTTGAGCTTCCGGCAAGTGTTGCATGCCGTCATGGACCGCCGGATACGACTCTTTGGACGCGAGCTGCCTTTGCCATCTGTCTCTCGCCTCCCTCGCGATTGACCATCGATCTTCCATGAACGGATATCCATGTGGTCTGCAGGTCGTGGGGCCATCAAGAGAGCACAACAAGACAGGCAAAGACCACAGCTGTCGAGGATTGTCGACAAGACAGCAGAACAGATGCGCAGAAATATAAGATACCTGACATGCAGGCGACCACCAAAGGGACAACAACAGCAGCATATGTAGGGATTGCTGCATTGATCTTGACTCAACACACAGCCTTCAGCAACGTCAAGTTTTAGCCAAATCCTGTCATCACCATCACGGCCCCCCACACCAGGATGGAACCAAGGACGGGAGATCGATGTGCTAGTGTAGATCAACCATCGCGTACAAGAATAGCCTCGATGTATCGTGGTTCATCAAGGTCTCCCACGTGGCGGACAATGGGACAGGCCGAAAGAAAAGAGGAGGCATTGATCACATCGTCAAGGATCCCAATCCTCCGACAGGAGAATATACTATCCAAGAAAGGCACGATAAGAGCATCATCCTATCAGATTGCCGTTAGGAAATACAAATCTTCTAAAGCTTTTCGAGAACGGCTAGTCTTGACCTCTCTATCAGACAAGACCCCATCGGATACCGCCGACATGGCCAGCGACCTGAACCACAGACGTGATTGAAACGTTCTCTATACCTCTTTTGACGCTAGAACTCCCAGTTAGTCTTGCGTAGGATAGACAAGCTGATCGGACAGACAGGCGATGAGGATGGATGTGGAGGGGTTAGGTTGCAACCTGGACTGACTGTGAGAGTCGCCGTCGCTGCCACCAAACTTTGTTTCTGACACCAGGACAGGGGTTGAGCCAGGAACAGACTCTCGGTTAAGATGCAAGAAACTCTCAGTTTGCAGAAGGTTAACAGAACAGAACTCTGTGGTGGGGCCAAAGGCTTGCACTAACAGCAACAACATCGTACCCAGCACGGGGAGAGGACCTTGTATCCTTGAAAGTGCATGCAGCCATGCCAGAATAAGACAAGATACTCTTGTTATTTATGGTGCAGATCACGACATTAGCGCTATAGCAAGCCAGCACAGATCCAGGACGGAATGTTGGTCGAAAGAATCAGATAAATCAAATCTGGGGGCGGAATTGGAGACCGAGGCTTCTCGATGCTCTTCCTGCCCGTCATGTGAGCTCGGGCTGCACAATACGACCTCGAAGTGACCAACGCGCAGCTAGGCTGGAAGCTATGCACTGGAAACGGCATCTCCAACCCAAAGGTAGGTAGGCTGGGGGATCTGCCTGAGGTTAAACGACGTTAGGAGCAACACAAGAACGTAGGCCGTCGACTCTTACACGCGAGCCAAGATTTATGGCTGTCGATCAGTTTCAGGGCAACAAAACGTGCCGTCAACTCGAATGAACCTATTTGAAGGTGAAACTGCTCTGAAGCCAGAAGGAGAAACAACAAGCATATTGAAATAGCATGGAAGTCAATGGCATGACTGAATAGTGATAAATCAGTGTTTGACACGGCCAGAGTGTACATAGCTGGATATACTCGGGAATTAAAAAGCTACCCAGTTGCCCCGCAAGTTAGTTTATCTCGACGGCATACCATTCCAGTTACATCGAGGGTTGTTCAGGTATATCTATGTTGACAGTGACGGGATAAGATAGCAAGCAGCAAGAGTCGTATACCCTATGACAAAGGATTCTTTCAGCCCTGTCATTCTTCCTATCTAGATAGTAGAGATTATCACTTCCAACCTACAATAGGTAATCTGTATAGTATACAGCAAGTACGTCGCACAGCATACTTAGATCGGCAGGTACATACGTCTAGTATCAAGGTACTTAATCAAGGCATCCAATCAAGTTTCGATACAGTTTAGATACAGCCCTATATCTATCTCCCTTTCCTTTTCCTTTTCCTTTTCTTCTTCTTCTTTTTTTTGGCCACTAATATGCATGCACATATCTACATGATGCATGATGCATACATAATGCATAATGCACAAGAACTGCAGTTGCATAATATTCCCTATATCCATCCATCCATTCATCTCTTGCAGGACAGTAGGAAAATCGATATGTCTTCTTGCTTTCTGACTGGATATAAATCCCCGAATAGTCTGACAATCTGACATGTTTCCTTCAAATAAGAAAAGAAATTTGTGTAACCAGACGACATCTTCCAGACATGGCAGACAAAACTGGTTTGTTCTTTTTTTTCTTTACACGAGATGCAATGCTATGACATTGGCATTATTTTTGATCTATGACGCCTGTTGCTATTAAATTAAATAGTATGGTTTACTTGATGATAAATAAACAATAAAAACAATAAAAAAAATCATGATATCAACGAAGTAGAACTGGTCAAAGACCAAAGTTGAGACGCATCAACTCAGCGCAAGGGCGAATAATGCAAGGCAGAAACAGATGAAATAAACTTTTTTTATCTAGGTTAAGCTGTTATTCATATTAATCAGAACGATATTGTCATTATATTGACCGTTGCTGGAATTTTGGAGTACCTATAACTAGCTAAGTAACTATCTGTCTGTCTGTCTACTGCACGTTATCAAATGATGAGCCCGACAAATGTATCATCATATCATAGCTTTCAGGGACCCAGGTACTGTACTGTAGGTATGTAGGTAGCAGTTCATTCGGGCATATGGAGTTAAGAGTACAGAGTTTGGAAATTCTGTCAACGTCACTCAGCATGAAAGTGGTAAGTAAAGACGAGGATAAAGACAAACCTGCAGACATGAAGGCCAGTTACAACGACAGGATTGTCGTTGTTGACAGGTTCGGGATTTGCAGATATCAAGACACAGTATAGTATATATTAGCTATCAAGTCATGACAAGCGAGAGGGTGAGATCTGCAATATGTATCTACGGAATATCTCCTTCAATTGAAGACGTACTCCGAATCTCTTGACAGTACAGATTACAGATTATTCCGTACGGACATAGCAAGAAGCTAGGATAAGACAAGACAAGACATCAGAGCTGCCTACTCTACTCCATCCGTCCTGGAATTTCTTCATGGCCAGCCTGTCTTTTCAGAACCTGAGTAGGCTTCTATCGGCTGTTCCTGCTCCCATTGGAACAGACTATGTGAATTAAACAAAACCGGCTCGAGTAATATTGATTGATGGATTGCTTGGTTGAGAAGACCGCTCGACTCCTAAGTCCTGACGGACAACCTCCAAGAATCAAAACGCGTGGCATGGCATGGCATGGCACAATAGGCTAATAGCGTGTCCCACCGGACGGTCCGTGAAACGGCGATCTTCATGGCGTGGCAGCAACGTGGAAGAAAGTCAAGGAATAATACGGTGTACTCTGTATAGAGATCCTTTCGACGAGGCGGTGACCGCCGTGTCCGACCGTATGATTGCCTCACCGGCATAAAATAAGGCTTGCGTAAGGACTAGACTGCCAGCATGATCTTGGCGACGCCGATCTTAACTGTTGGCGCTATGATTGAACAACGTGGATGACAGGCGCTATCTATCTATCGTCGATTCGTCAGGGCCTTGATAATACTCCTGAGGAATGGGATGAATGACGGAGAATAGATAGGCGACTGGTCAGGTGGTTTCTGCCTGCCTAATCTGGCACGGCCGAGAGGTTTTAGTGTCAGCACGGTTGTTGGCACCAGGCCAGTTCACTTCTCATTTTTCAGGAGGCAAGACTGCAATGACAACAATAAATGATAATTCGTAGAAATCGCCGGTGGGGGTGAAAACGGTACACTAATCTGGGCCTGTTTGCCATGCTTAATCCAGTCGGTCTCGACAGTCAAGCAAGTTGACGGCGAGCATGGGGGAGTAGATAGTACGGAGTAGACTGCGAATTCTACTCCGTACTGTCCAGACTATTCCGTAATCTGCATGATGTCCACGTCATGAGGACATTGAGTCCATTCAAGCATGCTTCTGGCGTCAGCATGCCTACGGCCATGGTACTCCGTAGTATGATAGCTCCCACCAAGTCTTCAACTTCAACAACGTGGAAGCTGTTATCGGCATTCGTACCGAAATTTGAGGCGCCATTTAGTCCTGCATAGGCGCATGTCACGCTCGACCTAATTGCTCCGTGGCGAATCCCACCTTCCCCTATTCGTGTCGAAGGAGTCGATCTGGACGTGCGTCAAGGTGTTAGTTTAACTTAGTCCCATACGGAGTACCTGATTTGGATCGTCTCCCCAAAAGCAGAAACCGAACGACCCAACACCCCCATCCGCCGTGTGAATCCCTCCTCATTCATGTCGTCATGGCGGCCCTCTGTTTCCAAGGAACTCAGACCACCCGGGTCCGCACGGTCGGGCCTCTTTCTTTGTCACCGTCATATGAACTGAACGAGCTTCCTTTTCCGATTTCGTTGTTATCAGGTATTTTTTTTAATTCCAGGGGTACGTGGTGGTCCTGTGGGTCAGACTGGCTGGCTGGTTGCAGCGGCAAGACAAGCCTCAGGCAGAGCTTAGATCGGATCCGATTCAGGCACGTCGCCCTGTCAGAGTAAAAGAGTGCCTGAGGGTTCGGCAGCATGTACCCGTCGATCCCCGATCCGCCTCTAATTTGTGCAGGCCAGACGCCTTAGGTAGTTTAGTTCGCCTGGACGGTAGTACCCGACAAGGCACGAAATATCCGCCCCTGGCGCTTGCCGATCGGATGGTGAATAAGTAGCCGACGAAACGGGTAATCCATGCGTTAGGACTCGGATCGAGAATTCGAGATAGAGCAACCATTGCGAGCAAGTCAGTAGAGAAAAAAGTTAGAGTAACAGGGCAAATTCCCTACGTACGTATCCTGGTACCCACAGGACAGCCTCCATATTCCAAATACCAGGATCAGAGTTCAGACCTAGCGATCCTCTTGGGAGTCTGGGACTGCACGGCATCTTGGCGCGCAAGACCTCGGTTTCTCACCCCCACGATGGATCGGAAGAGCGCATTGGTCGGGATGCTCACGGACACGTCCAGCACAGGCGCCTGAGTGAATTATTATAGCCAACTGCAACGCAAAGAGCAGGTGGAATTCGCCTCCATGTTGTTGTTTTGTTGTTGTGAAGAACCCCGTTTTGGCCTGTTGGGTTTCGCCCTTAGCAGGTGTCATGTTTCGGTGTCTGCAGCCTGTCTCCGCACCGAAACAGCCATCTGTCACCATCCTCTCTGATGGTAATCTGTCAGACGCCCTGTCACTGGCCCCAACCCAATCTGTCATGGAAATTCAAGGAATACAAAGGCAAAACACGGCGATCAAACAACGCAATGGACACTCAAAATACGACAGTGGGGTTATGGTTACAGCACGCTGGTGGAACCCCCTTTAGACTCCCGCGCCATCCAGAAAGCCTCATCTTCCTTTTCCTTTTTCTCTTCCGAATTTCCTCGACTGGCAGATAGTAATAGTAACGATGAAAAATGAAAAATGGAAATGGAAACTCCGGCAGTGTGAGATCGAGCCTGGAGTTGGGCCAAATCAAATAAAAAAAATAAAGTGTCATATCTTCTATTCCCACTATAGACAGATCCCCGTGTCGACAAATGACAAGTAAATAGTAATGCTTCCCGCCGATATACGGCTGACTTCAACACGGCCATCAAAACATCTGTCAGATCCCCATGCGGCAGTCATGCAACAAAACATTCTGTAGAGAAGGCAAGTCCCGGGCCTACCATAAGAGGACAACAAAAAGTAGGAATGTTTGGCCCACACTTTAGCACCAGAACAAGGCTTCCATTAGGACCGATCAACTCCATATGGATCTGTCAGAAATGCGAATAGTGATTTCCCCTCAAATGACATCGAAGATGGCGGCCGTGAAAAACAAGAACAGGGTATCACAATATGATCTTATCGGTCCAGCCCACCCGTAAAGAAAGAAAAGGAAAAGGAAAAGGGAAAGGACATTATATAGAGAAAAAGATACACACATATGTATATGAATGAAACGTTATCAGTCAATCATCACCCCATCGTAACAATTAGGACCAGTCAAACACCATTCCCCCGGTGGATCACCATGCGTTCCATCCTGTAATGCAAATGTGGACATGACAGTAAAGATGAAAAAAAGCGAGATTAACTCAAAGAGGCTGTAAATGCGACACAAGGGCCGGTCCTGCCAATGCTGATGCGCGCGAACGCTGCAAAGTCTATGGCGGCGGCAGACTCGGATGATTCAAGAACGAGCAGGAGAGGATGTGGATGCAGGAGAGGATGTTGCTTCCACGTCGCTGAGGGGTGACGGCGGACGCTGGTTTCGGTCGCCCTCGTTGTTACTGTTGTTGTTATTGTTGTTGTTGTTGTTGTTGTTGCGCATTTGATTGCGGAGCGCCGGAAGTTGTCTCCGTCTGGCGTTGATGAACCAATTGCTGATCTGTTTCGAGATCCAACCGTCAGTAACCAGACCAATCCGCAAAAAGATTTCTGGATCCTACCTGGCTGATAGAGAGACCAGTACGCGACATGAACATTTGCTTGTCTTCCTCGCTCGGATACGGATGGTCGAGATGTTCATGGAACCACTGTCGCAAAATGTCCGTCACCGGCTTGGGAAGATTGCCTCTCCTTCGTTTCCCTCGTGAATCAATTGGATCACCCAAGACGCCAAAGTTCGACGTCGGAGGGCTGTGCATCATCGACGAATATTCCGTTTCACTCGTGTAGGATGCTGGATAGTGAACGTAACGAGCATGATCGTACGGTGGCTGGTTATACGGGACCGGCGTTCCACTGCTGCCGGCGTACGGCTGAGAGGTGAATCGATCGCCCTCCAGGCTCCGCGGCCCAAAGGCGTCACGGCCGGCCCCTCCGAATTCCTGAGTTAACCCACGCGGACGGACTGTCGCCATATCGTCGTAGGCGCTCCTGGGACGATTCAGATTCCGCTCCGGAAGGGATTGCAGATCTCTGATGGGAGGCAGAATCGGACTGGGCCCCCTTGTGTTGAATGGGGATCTCGCTCCCCCGACAGGCACCGGAGTCGAGCTCCCGGAGGAAGGAGGAATTTGCAAAGATTCATGCCCTCGCTTGAGACTGTCTTCTACACTGGGGGAAGGCAGCGGCAATTCCTGGACGCCAGGCCCCAACGCCGGCTTGGGCGGAGACGAAAATGGAGGCCCCGGTACCGACCTCGGTTTTAATAAAGAGTCCGGCGGCGGTGGCCGTTCTGGCTGCTGATACTGCCGGCACTGTGAATAGTAGGACGCAGAATCTATCTCTTCGTGCAGATGTGGTGGGAGAAGCTAGTCCACAGTGGTCAGCGACTTCCCTTAGTCTCACCCCGCCATCGCTAGGGACAACGCACCTCTCGAAAAGATGGCAGGGTCTGGGTGCGAGTAGCGGGGATCCCGCTGGCGTATGATACAGCCATGTTCCCTTTGTTGTGCTCTCCTTCCTCACCTTGTTGAGACATGCGGGAAGAGGGAAAAAGGGGGGCCAGGCCTGCCGACTTAATATCTGCCCGGAAGTGACCGAATCTGGATACAGAGAGCCAGCATGCGGGGCTGGCGAGTCTGACAGCACGAGATGATTGGGGGGGAGGAGGAGGAATTCAAAATGAGTGTCAATGGGTGGTAGCCTTGCCCCCAGGAGAATGAGCATCCAAAGAGGCGTGACGAAGGAGCGAGGAATCTAGCTCGCTGTTTAAAGTAGATGCAGAGAGAGTAGACGCACCCGAGTTTCCGGCTAGGTCAGATTAGCATCGCCGATGTGGACGGCTGAACCAAAGTTATGCGGGCTATGGGACGCTCGAAGCTTTGACGGAGTATTTTGGCGTTGGCCACTGGGCGCAGCGATCCGGCACGAATGCTTTTCTGGAGAATGGAAAAAAGCCGCCCCGTTGTTACATTTGGCCGAGAAACCCCATGGAAACCAAACCCACGATTCGGGATGGGTGGGCAGATAGAATGACGATCGTGGGTGCGACGAGTGGGTACAGCAGCCCGACACCACGGCCACTTGCTCTGTCAGTCGATAGGCATGCAGGGCGGAGAACGAAGCAAAAGGGCGCCTTAAGGTTTTCTTGACAGATGGAGCCAGGAATCTGACACCTGGCCGCAAGAATGATGTGCCAATAGCGCCTGCGAAATCGCTCGAGCGTTCGCGATCCCAGTCTCGACGCTAGCCCGTGGGCGGAAAAAGGGAAAAGGGAACCGTTCGGGCAGGGAGGATGTCGTTACGATAATAATCACTACAGTCGTTCAACCGAAGGCCCAGGCTCGCAAGTTGACCAGTTCAGGGTGGTACTATATCGAATTGTGTTCCCGTCCTACGTACGGAAGAGAAAGGACCTGCCAGCATTAAAAAGGAAGACATCATCCGACAGGCAGCTCTCGACGGACCTTGCTTGGTACTTGGCGTCCTGATCTGGTTGCTTTCTGCAAGCTCCATAAAACTCGCCAAGAGGGGCCTGATTGGCTGCAGTATCGACGCCCCAGCCAGATATGCTGCGTCCTACATGGCTGATGGCTCATTAATTGACTAGCGCTGTAATTTGTACAAGGGGTCTAAGTCTTCGACAGGCTATGACATGACACGCATGGCCGAAAAAAAAACATAGGGCAACATGGGGTAGCAACAGGGCGTGTGGGCTGGGTGTGAATCGTCACGGGTTCTCCGATATCCGTTCAACAGCCTAACCCCCTTACACCTACGCTCTTCAGGGGTGCCAAAAGTCAATCGCGGGGAGCATGGTCAACTCGCCATGGTATTTTCCTTCTCGGGGGGGTCCCCAGCAGGGCATCCATCAGTTGGCTAGCTGCAGGACTCAAATAGCCCAAGGGGCGAAAATTTCAGGACTTGTCGTGCACCAGGAAAGGATCGCCAGCAGTCCCCAGGCAGACCCACTGTTGTGCTGGGCAGCCTGTGCCATGCAGCAGCCATGGTATAAAACTCCAGGGCTCCGGCTACTCGGGGGGGAGTGTTGTGGCTCATGTCGACATGGACGGTCGAACCGGTGTTCGGCCTGAGTCCGCATCGCGACGGCTATGGCGCCGCGGCCGATCGATCTAAGCGCGTCTGGGCGAATCATTGTGCCGCCGGGCTGTCCGTCCAGAGCACAAAACAGATTTGGTAAAACCGTGGCTGGGGTGATTGCCCACTGCCAGCGCATGTTTTTTTTTTTGCAATCCCGATCAGCAGGGATGACAGATCTCTGTCAGTGATCGGTCCCCACTACGGCATGACCAGGCCTGCGTCCTGCATTCCTGGGATCTGTACTCCGTACTGTATCCATGATTCCATACTTGGTGCACTCTAGCCAGGTCTAGGACGATGCCGGTTCCACGTCGTCCCCCCAAAGAGGGCCGGGGGGCACACAGGTGCCTAGGTAGGATCGGGGACGGGACCAGCAGGCGTGCTGTCCTGTGCAGCACGAGAGCGAGGTGATGGCTGGCACATATGACAGCTCTAGTGCGATCTGTGCGGTTGTACGGAGCACTTGTACCAGGGCCGGAGCCAGTGCGGTGCTGCCAAATCGTCAACGCGCCTCGGAGGGCGACGGCGATGGGGATCTGGTGGTACTCGTGACCTGGGATGGGCTGCGCCAGAAGGATTGAAGGCCTGGCACCCACCAGGGCCGCAATAGTTAGTAGCTAGGTACCGGGGCGGCCGTTCGTGCTGTCAACATCAATGGCCCATTGCAGGAATCTGTAGAGTCAGCACGGCGATGGCGCTGTCGATCGAGGGGGTTGCCCACGTTAGCCGCATTCCAAAAAAAGGACACAGACGTGAACCATGGGCCTGGCCGCCTAGCGGATAACAAACCCGACGGCCTGCTCCGTCCTCCGTGGCGAGAGCCAGGGCAGGTGTGTCAGCGACGCCCCGTGGGTAAGCTCAGCTGCAGAACTTCGGTGGAAGCAATCCAGATCTAGGGACATGCCAGGCCACGGTGGGGACCTGCGGTACTAATACGCGGATGGCTTTGCAGACCTGCAGAACTGGCGTTAAGCCGCAAAGAGCCCCAGCACGATGATGGCTGAGTGATTGACTAATGGACTGATTGATTGCGAATTGAGATTGCTGATGATCGGATACGGGACTGTGGCATTGTTGTTGCTGCTGGCGGTGGCGGGTTGTTCCTGCCTGTGACAGCAGCCTGGCAGGTGTCGCTGTCGATCGCGAATTCGGGCTTCCTGTTGCGGAAGGCGGTTCCCACAGTTCCTCTCTTAGGCAGGTGCCTCCCTAGAGTCCTACAGCAGGCAGGAGCGCATTAGATAATGTGAATCAATGAGGAAGCTGCCACGAGACGGCGTCTGCTGCCAGCCCTGGCAGGCGATCGGAGCCGATCTAGATGGCTCCCAGGCCACCCAGGCATGAAGGCCGCGGTGCCTGCCGTGCCCACGGCCACTGTCCCCCAGCTGCGTCGTCCTATTGATCGTTTATTGACTTCTCTAATCTGCTCTCCGTACTGATTTAGTCTCGCCTTCTGCAGGATGCATGCAGCACCAGCCACAGCCAGGGCATCGAGCCCTCGACAGCATCGTGCGCGAGTCCAAGATTTGGGTGCGGAGCGTCAACGCCTTGCCCGCCGCCGCCTGCGTCACGACTGTCGACCCCAAAAATACCGTGCGCAGAACCGCGGGTGTGCCGTACCCAAGCGAATGGTTTCATCCAGGGGTAGTCAAGGCCGGCAGATGTGGTTCCATGGTCGACAGGTGGGAATCAAATTCCTACGGCGCCGGTTAGAGGGGTGTCACTGTGGAGCAGGCCCTTCTGGACGTGCTGTCTTGTCAAAGACTGAAAGACGGCGCTTGAGGAATTCTTCACGCGCGTCTCCCAGATCCGAGAATGAGATCGTGCAGGCAGACAGGGGCGCAGTGGAGATCGACGCGCGATCTCGGACCAGGGTGTGAAAGAAGCAGAAGCGATCGGAGCTTTTGCTGCGTCAACCGCCTCCTAGACTCGTCGTCCGGCTCCACTCGAGATCCCAAATGTCTGGGAGCTCCACGATGGGAATGAATTCCTGCTGAATTGCCCAGCGAGCCCACTGTGTCGGATAAGTCTATAATACAACTGAGTGACAATACAACGGTGGCAAAAAGAGACGGCTGACTCTGACCTCGTCATTCTCCCAGGATAGGGAATATGGTGCCATCTTCCGTATGCCACATTACATTTCATATGCAAGTATTCTCCCTCTTACAAGGGTGGTGAGCCAGAAGTGGAAGGGCGAATGCAAGGGAATTTCCCAAAAGAGTACTGTGTTGGTGCCTGACCCATACGGCATTCAGGCAGCTGCCAGGTCTGACCAATCAGCTGTCAGTTACCACGTGACCGCCAAACCGGCCACGCAGATTTAGAGCCGACCTCAACGCCGGCTCCTAGTCAGTTCTTCTTTTTCTTCCCCAGAGGGAGCAATAATATATTGATCTTCTATGCCTAGATAGACTTCATCTATTTCCCACTGAGCTCTCGGCAGCCTTACGCCGAGAGGTTATGAGCCCGGCAGCACTGGCAGACGACTGATAACGACGTTGTCTGACTTACAATTCGAATCGATCGACCTGACTGGCAAGGTGCCGGGGTCTCGCTCCCTTGATCGACTCGAATGGACTTGAATACAGAGTAGATTACTCTGAAAACGATCTTACACACGGATCTGGAGCTCAGAACGGCTTCATACGGTTCCATACAGCTTATATGGCTAACTTGACTCAATTGAACGATTAAAATGTCGACTCAGCAAGGCGATGGACTGTCGCCTACACCCTCATCTACGGATATGACGCCGGAGACACAATTGGAACAAGAAACTGCTGCAGTTGCAGCAACAAGGATGGGGCAGAGATCTGCCAGAATCAAGAATCAGGCATCTGATCTGCCTAGCCGACTAGGCACGTTGGACAGCATTGAAAAATTGACCGGAACTGAAAACTACGAAGACTGGGAAATGATCGTCATTGGACATCTTAAAAGACATAAGATCCGTGACCTTATTGACAGCAAGATTCCAAGGCCTACTCCAGATGACGAGAAATACGAATTATGGGAAGACTATTCATTGACAGTCGGCTTATGGCTTATCACACAAGTTAACCGATCACTGAGAGAAGAAATGAAGGCATCTGGTGAAGATCCTGAGTATGCTGATGATGTCATGAATCTGATCCGAAGGACAATCCAAGGGACAACTCCCACAGCAGAACATAGTCTCTATATCGATTTCCATGACACGAAAAGAGACAAATACGCTACTGTCGAACACTTTGTCAACGCATTTAGACAGAAATTCCGAGACTGCAACCGTACAAGATACAAAGTGACGGCTAGGATAGCCAGTCTGATGCTTCTAGACCAATTGGAAGAAGATATGCCATCATGGGTTAACAGCAAAATGGAGAATATGTCCGACAAAGACTATGAGACCGAAACCGAATTCTTATCACTATGTCGACAGGCTATTGAGAAGTCTAGAAAACGCGGTCAATATGCTGCAACAACTTCTATCAGGCTTCACTAGTAACAGCCATCACATCACATCACCTCACAGTACGATCTACCCAAACAATGCTCGAGGAGGAAGTAAAGGCAGATACCCTGGACAAGGAAACAAGAGCCCTAATCAAGGACGTCGACCACAAACAGACAGACTCAGGGGATCTCCTCCACCTGGATTCAGTGATGATGATTGGGTACAGAAATGGCTAAAGATGGAAGATCCTGAAGTCTCTAAGACCTACTGCATATTTTGTGGGGGAGGCTATCATGGACCATCTAAGTGCTATTACTTGGGTTACAAGGCTCCTGAAGGGTGAAGCCTAGATCCGACAT